TAGTTTACTTCAGTCCCTGAAGAAGGTAACTTTGTTACCGAAAAGTGCTTCGGACAACTACAGTGTCGTGTTTTGGCGTTGGGGTTTTGAGCTATTCTGTTTGTTCTACAACAACCGCCAAAGTTTTTCCAATCTTCATATTATATAGTATTGTTTCAACATCAATAATAAACACCTCTCATTTCAAGATTTTCACATCACAAGGTCGTCAGTCTTAAGACTAGTTGGACACACACCTCCCTATCCTGAGCTAATCTTCGCATTTCCCTGAAACTAGAAAAACCCACATCCTTAACTACTGGTAAACAGTAATCTAATTTAGGCCTATATCTCCTCTTATCTCCTGTTTCTGTCAGTCTGAGAAGGTGCCCTACCAACCCATCTCGCCTATTTTTTATTGACTTCCATAGAGTGCTCTGTTCTCCTATTCTTTCTAATATCTCTTCATTTCTAACCTTCTCTATCCACGGTATCGTCATCATTCGTCACATTTCGAACACTTAACCTTTTCTTTTCCGCAGCGTCCACCGTCCATGTTTTCCGTACTTTTTCTTCCCTTGCATACCTGTATTTTTGTTTTACTTTTATTTATTTTCATACAATACTATTTTGTCAATACCGCTTCCATTTTATTTAAAACTATCTCTAACTCGAATTAGAAAATACCACAAATGGCGCGATAAACGCCATCTGTAGTACAAAGCTACATTTTAGGATTACGTTTCAGTAAGTAGATATCCATATATTTAAATGGAGCTTGTTGAAGCATACGTAATCCTAAAATGTAGCTTCGTACTACAGATGGCGTTTACCGCGCCATTTGTGGTATTTTCTAAAACGCGCTGTTAAAACAGCAGGTAAAAGTTGGTCTGTGTTCTGTCGGAGCTGTCTGCGACGCGCTGATGAGATCCAAAAAGATCGAAATCGCGATCCGCCTCTGGCAGTTTCGACAGAATACAGACCACTTCGAATTGTTTTATTATTGTTATCTCTAACTCCTCCTTGTTAGATGCTAATACTGATATATCATCTGCAAATCTAAGCATATTAATCTTTTGCCCCTGTATTCCCACCCCTACAGTTATACTGTCTTTATTAATGATGTTAATCGCGTCTTCGATGTATAGATAAAAAGTAATGGTAAAAGTGTGCATCCTTGTCTGACTTCCTTCCTACTATTTAATTTAATGAGTTTAATGTCTAATGCGAATAGTTACTATCCTTCTGGAAGCCAAATTAATTAATCGTAAGTGACTTTTAGGCGTCAAAAATGGACACCACAATTTTGGGATCCCACTTAGTGCCGGACCAGATGCAAGTGATCAACCCGGCTATTGTGCTTATTCTGATACCAATTTTCGATAGATTAGTATTTCCATGCCTCGGCAAATTAAATTGCTTGGATAATCCTCTCCATCGGATGGCAATTGGAGGTTTAATGTAATTAGAGAATCGTTATCAAAATTCCTGTAATTCCATTTTCCCATATGACCTATACATCTACGTTTGCTCAACTATACGATAATTAAATCGTTACTTAAAGTTGATACTTTCTTTCTAGGAAATCAATCTAAATCCTACATTTACCTATCTACTTAAAACGATTAATGAAATATACTCCTAATGAATTAAAAAAAATAAACAAACACTACGGATATTTTCGTTAATAATTATTTTAGAAAACTCCTAATAAGTTTCACAGTAAATCTTATACTGAAGTATTAAACCTACAGCAGTTCTTTTTATTGTCAATAATTTAGCAAGAATCAATAGATAGGCTATAAAACTTAATTCCACCTAATTATTTACATGAGTGAGAGCTTCTTGGCTTCTTTCCAAAAAGGACAGTTTTTCACTTTTTTACATCTCTAATCAGAGCTACAGCATTGTTTTCATCTAACTTTTCATTAAAAAAGACCAATTATTTGTCTCTTTTGTCAATACCGTACAAGTGTTCTTTTATTTTTATGTTAATTACTCTCCCACTTAGTCCAACATAGAAAGCATCTTGCATTGAATTCTATCATGTTCATATTTGCATAATAAAGATTTGGAAGATTAAAGATTACGTGACTACAAACCTAAGGTAGACATTTTGGAAAGAAACTGTATTTATTTAAGAAGCCTTCTATATTGGACCAAGTGGAAGAGCTGTTAGCGCAAGAATAAAGAACACACAAAAACAGGCAGAAAACTGGCATTTCCGAAAATCGTGCTTTTTAAATCATAATTTAAAACAATAATGATTTTGTAATCCTGCACGGTGATGTAAAAGATAGTAGAAAGCTGTACATTTTGGAAAGCTTAAAAACAGGAAAAGTTCTCAATAAGAATCTTATGTTTTAAAGACTGCCTACTCATTTTTGTCAATGATTAACCATAAAAAGTGTTAGGAAATACCAGAAATGGCGCGCTAAACGCCATCTGTAGTACGATGATACATTTTAGGATTACGTATGTTCCAACAAGGTCCATTTCAATGTATGAATATCTGCTTGCTGAAACGAATCCCGGCGTAGCTAACCTCAATGTGATAAGCACGTTACCATAATCAAATATTATTTCATTCCTTGTTGGAGCATACGTAATTCTAAAATGTAGCATCGTACTACAAATGGCGTTTACCGCGCCATTTGTGGGATTTTCTAAAACGCTCTGTTAAGACAGCAGGTAAAAGTTGGTCTGTGTTCTGTCGGAGCTGTCTGCGACGCGCTGATAAGATCCAAGAAGATCGAAATCGCGATCCGCCTCTGGCAGTTTCGACAGAATGCAGACCACTTCGAATTATTTTATAAAAAGTGCTCCTTTATTCCATTGAAAATTGGTTCCGCGACGGAAACTTATTAGGAGGGGGTGAAATTATCCGTAGTGCTTTTGATTTTTGTTAAAATTAATTAGACTAGTAAATCAATAAAATCGAATTATTGTTATCATTTATTATTACAAACATTTCAGAGCTGGAATGGCGTTCTCATCGGCAGGAATAGTTGAATTGGCCCTGGCCAAAAGCAATCCTGCACTGCCTGGCAAAAATCAATCTGCACTGAATGTCATAAACACCCTGCCGTGCGATTTGATTGTTGAAGGTCCTTTCGACCTTATTAAAATTTTAACAAGTGGTAAAATGTTGTCTTTGAAAAATCTACCTGCGCATATAGAAAAAATTTACAATGTCACCCTCGGAACCACTTCAAATTGCGATTATACTCAATTTAGTTCTCCTGTATACGAATTACAAGTTGAAGCGGTTGAGAAGCAGGTTAGTATTTACCCAAGTGTTATTTGGAAAATTGAAAAATAATTTATAATCACAAAAACCTCAAAATATATATTTCCTAATTCTACATCCCTCATCATCACAAGGTCGTCAGTCCTAATAACACTGGTTGGACACGCACCTTCACTCCTTCCTATCCTGAGCTAATCTTCGCATTTCCTTAAAATTAGAACATCTCATATCCTTAACTTTTTGCGAAACAGTAATCTAATCTAGGTCTACCTCTACTTCTCTTTCTGCCTCTAATATGTCTTTGACTAGACCTTCATGCCTAAGTAGGTATTGATTTTCATGGAGTCCTCTTCTAACCTTTTCTTTTACCAACACGCCCACTGTACATGTTTCGCACCCGTACAGCGCTGCGCTCCTAACATACACCTTTAACAATCTTTTTCGAATTTCTAAATAAATCGTTCGCGAGCATAGAAGTAACTTCTTATTATTGAAGGCGACTCGACCCTGCGCTATCCTGTGCTTTATACCCCTACTACTCCTTCCGTCCTGACTTATCTGACTTTCTAGATAACTAAAATCAGCCATTTCTTATAATTTTTCGTCTCCTATATATACAATACTGTTTTATCAATACCGCTTCCATTTTATTTAAGCCTATTTCTAACTCCTCCTTGCTAGATGCTAATACTTCCGCTATATCATCGCAGATCTAATCATACTAATCTTTGGCCCCTATACATATATCTCTAAAGTTGTCCCGTCTTTAATTCTACGTTTTATTAAATAAGAACTCAATTCAAAACATCACACAAGTTCTGAAGAAGTTTCAAGACCTTTTCTATTATACGAGGGTGGATTGATAAGTTTCCGGCCTAACCAAGAGATGACGCCACTAGGCCTACCTTGAGGTGACATTCTATAGTACCATCCTTGGATAGCTTGTAGCTATAGTTTCAGCCCGATCTCCTTGCTAGTGTAGGTTTGACAGCACGCTGAACAAGACGCCTCTGTGGTTTTCGTAAAAATGGAAAAGCAGGAAAATCGTGCTGTCATCAAATACTTTTATTTGAAGGGGTTAACGCCGAAGGAAATTAAAAAAGAGATGGACTCAACACTGGGGACATCCTCCCCGTCATATTCAACCGTTAAGCAGTGGGTTTCCGAGTTTAAAAAGGGTCGTGTGAGCACCTCTGATGGGCCTCGCTCAGGACGCCCCGTTGAGGTCACAACTCCAGATATGATCGAAAAAATTCATCAAATAGTGCTGGGAGACCGCAGATTGAAAGTGCGTGAGATAGCTGAGACCTGTAAGATGTCATATGAACGTGTGCAACATATTTTGCACCAACATTTGCATATGGAAAAGCTCTGTGCAAGATGGGTGCCGCGTTTGCTAACAGTCGACCAAAAATTGATTCGAAAAAACATTTCTACCGCAAATTTGTCATTGTATAAGCGTAATCCAAGCGAATTTTTGCGTCGATTCGTAACCGTTGACGAAACGTGGGTCCACCACTACACTCCTGAAACCAAAGAACAGTCTAAACAGTGGATTGGACCAGGGGAACCAACTCCAAAGAAGGCAAAAACAATTTTTTCGGCGAACAAGGTTATGGCTACTGTTTTTTGGGATGCAAGAGGTATTATATACATTGATTACCTTGCAAAGGGTAATACTATCACTGGTCAATACTACGCAGACTTATTGCAACGTTTGAGCCACGAGGTGAAAATTAAACGACCTCATCTGGCGAAGAAAAAAATCTTGTTTCATCACGATAACGCACCAGCGCACACGTCAATCGTTGCGACGGCTAAAATCAACGATCTAAAGTTTGAATTGATGCCGCACCCTCCTTACTCTCCAGACCTAGCCCCGAGTGACTATTTTCTGTTCCCTAATCTCAAAAAATGGCTTGGCGGTAAGAGATTTGCGGACAATGAAGAAGTAATCGAAGCTGTAAATGGTTATTTTGAGGAGCTTGACGAATCAGTCTATAGAGATGGCATTAATAGACTGGAACACCGCTATGAGAAATGTATCAGCCTTGGAGGAGATTATGTTGAGAAATAAAAAAAAAAAATTTTTAAAAACCTTGTTTTTCTTGGTCAGGCCGGAAACTTATCAATCCACCCTCGTACATACATGTATATTATTTGTGTTATGTAGGTTGTAGCAAGGAATATATATAAATAAACTTTACGTCACTACTACCACCCCCATAAATTTAGAAAATCTATATTTCCATATTACTCACTTTCTAACTTCTCATATTGTCGATAGTTTGCCAAGTTTTGTGTTGTTTACTGCTGACTGTTATTTGTTTTTAACGTGTATAGGGTATTAGGTCCTTGGGGAAACGGTATCCTTGAAAGTAAAATTCCGGAGAGAAAAATGAAAGGTTCGCGCAATCGATCAAATTTCTATTTTTATTTTTTAAATGATGGATTTGACAGTTATTGTGAATATGAATCATTTTTATATAACTTCAACCTGCCAACAGGTACTGATCGAATTGAGAAAGAAATTTAATTTTCCGAGCTACTGTTCCGAACACTCAATTTCCTGAGCGGCCGAATTTTTCAAAATAATTTCTTTTGCTATCAAATGATGTACTGTTTGCTGTTTAGAGATTTGTCTTTGTAATCGAACAGCTTTTTTTTTGAGAGGAACTTTGTAGATAAGAATTTATTTATTTTTATAAAATCTCTACAAAAAGATAAAAAGCGTTGAAAAATGTCAAAGTTATTGATTGAACACTTTTTAAGTTTTCCTATGTCATAACAAGAGCGATGCTTTAAATCTTGAATATACTTTTATAATAACTTTCTAAATAGATATATCATTTGAAAAATGGTATAAATATACCCTTATTTTCAAAACAGGAAGTACAAAAATTTTTTCCAAATGTGTGGAAAGTCAAATACTGACTTGTAAGTGTAGTTCTCATTCCATGGAATTCAAAAACATTACTCCTGTATCCTCAACTAGCCCTTCATGCCTGAGAAGATGTCCTACCAATCTAACTCGTCTATTTCTTATTGACATCCACAATGACCTCTTTTCTCCTATTGTTTTCAATACATTCTCATTTCTATCCTTCTTCTTCCACTGTATCCTCATCATCCTCCTATAATACTACATATCTAACGCTTCTAACCTTGCCATTTCCGCAGAGCCCACTGTCCACGTTTCACACGTATTCAAAAACGTACTCCAAGTATACACGTTATAATCGTTTTTGAATTTATAAATTGGCAAAAACGAAATGAATTTTTCACAAAAATTATTGATTTTAAGGTTCATACCGTTTTGATCTCAATAAATGAAGAGGACGAAATTACCGTTTATACAACAGAAGCTATCGATTATGAGAAATCTATTAGCGGTAGGCCAAAGGTCAGGTATGAAAAATATCCCCAATGTTCATTCAAAAACCAATTAGGATTAGTTTAAAATTTATCTATCATACTTAAAGGATTGCTTACATTCATACATCACAAAAATTGCATAATGTAACAGTGACTATCAGAAACGCGGGAGGGATGTCGGACATTTATTTCATCCCCAACAAAACTCCCAGCGACCTGTCCGTATCAGCTTATATGGAGCTTCCCGTAGGAATGTGAGAACTTCCTTAACTTAATTGTAAATCTCGATTAGCAAAGATGCTTGCTGCTTTTAGATACGATTACTCCCTCAATTCAGACGAAGGCCTAATCCTTAACCCCCGAACGATTTATTTAGCTTTAGGAGGTGTCTACACGTTGGTGCTTCGCGAAAGGGACGGAGTTATTGAGGTTTCGTCTTATTTATCTTTTCAATATACACGACGAAACTGAAATAAGTACAGTGCTTTTTGGAGCGTGTCAACTACAATAAGCTACAATGCGAAGCCGGTCCTGGGCGTGATTTGGCGGCTCTAGTACAACTAGACCATTCAGTACAACAAATTACGATAAGAATTCAGAAGTTACACATAGATAGAAAGTAAATTAAACAACGCCTATAGTAAACAACAATCTACCGCTTAATATCAACGAGTTATTGGTTACACATAAAATTTTTTAGAAATTAGAGCTACATGCTACAAGAAATTGACATCAGAACTTCTTAAACGAAACTGCCAAAACATATCCACTCGCGGCTAAAAATCAATTTGCAGCAAGGCTTGCACTCGCTGCAAATGATAAATATGCAGCCAACGTTCGGTGCTATTTCACGTGTAGGTACTACTTTGAGGGTTGTCTTCTATTAAATCAAGACATAAAATATTAAAACTTCTGTGGAATTGGGAAACTCAAGCAAGTCTGTTTTCTAGATTCCACCTTCCTTTCTTTCTTCCTGAATGGCTCATTATTATGTCGGTAATTCCCGATACCAAACAATAAAAAGACAGCCACTGGACTTTGCTAGCAGTAATAACAACAACCGTTCTACAGTGACACACTGACCTACTGCCAATGACTGACACTTCTAACCATTAGCTGATTGATCGCGGCGTTGCGTTATCGTATTTCTCTGTGTAATTTACCAGCGGCGGACTGTACATTCAAATACGTTTTTCTCGAAAAAAGCGCCGCACTTATTTCAGTTATACGTACATATATACATCCATTAATCGTTAATTTATATGATTAGTTTCACAAAGTAAGGTCAAGTATTTTCACTGTTCACAAAGTGTTAAAGATTTATACATTCCCAAAACAAATAATGTTTAAAAAAATAGTTCCCCTCTATTCACATTAAACACAAAATCCATACCAAACGTATAAATATTATTAGATTTATGTCTTTATATTATTTTATAGTTTTCGTATTTATTCGTAATGTCTCCACCTAACAGTGTTAACATTTTATGGCTTCTCCCTCAATATTTTATTGTATCAATGGCTGAAATAATGTTTGGGGTGGCTGGCTTGGAATTTTCTTTGACTCAGGTAGTTTCATACTGTAGATTAATCAATCGCATTCAATAACTTTGTATTATAGGCTCCAAAATCGCTAAAAACTATTACGCTAGCTGCCTGGTACCTTTCAGTAGCAATGGGAAATTTGATAGTAATTGTTATAGCAAAATTTAAAATATTTACCAACCAGGTTCGTTTCTTATTTATATTGATTTCAAGAGACATTTGCCTATTTATTACAACTTTCTAGAAAACAACAAATGTATACTTCGTTTACTTTCTGTAGCGATGTGACCTTCAGTTTGACCGGCGCAAAGTAGAAAAGAACAGCACTAGGCCAGAAAAGGAAGGAGACAACTCTCGGCCAAACTCTTAACCGGTGAGGAGCGTATAATCCGTANTATACTTCGTTTACTTTCTGTAGCGATGTGACTTTCAGTTTGACCGGCGCAAAATAAAAAAGAACAGCACTAGGCCAGAAAAGGAAGGAGACAACTCTTAACCGGTGAGGAGCGTATAATCCGTACAGTACTGCACGGAAAAATTGACCACTACAATTGCATTGCTCAAAAGTGCTGTTATTGGTACCATTTACTACTGAAAATATCAACGAGATGTTTATTTATATTTGAAGACATATTAAAGGCTTTAACGCTTGTTTTCGACTGGCACTACTATTCATGATTGAACAAAACTTTTGGCAGGTACTGTATGTTTAATGAACGAGAGTCGAGAGTATAATGAGCTTTTTTCTCCCTACCTACGATTTTGCCAGCGCGCATCCGAGACATTGGAAGGGGCCAATCGCTAGAGAATGTAAATGAAGTATACTAGTGTATTTATATTAAATGCCTAGCATATTTAAGAACGAAATCATTTCATTCTTACTCCTACAATTTTATACTTCTCTTTCATTTTCTTCAACTTCTAAAAGTAGAATCAAACACAAATATCGTTTCATTAATGGCGTTTTAAAAAACATTCAGTTCTTCGTCAGTAATTTAACGAAACTAATAGATGTTGATCGTGATTTCGGACTTATTGGTCCTTATCAGCACGCCGTGGGCGTAGGTATACAGATAAGGTAATAAATTTGGCCCAAACATGGAGATTCTGCATTTCTTCGTCGGAATTTTTCTTTCTATGTCGCTTGAGCAAAATTTGAAATTCAAAAGGTGATGTTGACGTCAATGATTACAAATTAAAGAGTATTCTTATGTATGTAAGCATCAAATAACACTAGATGATATTTTGTCTGTTGATTGCTTTGTGTTTTATTCTACTTTTACAACCTGTTGCACTTTTGAATGTTTTAATTCTTTAACTTTATTAAAATATGAGTTTCAATTATCCCTCGGCCTTTTTATAAACGTTTATTGAATGTACATTTGCAGGCTAATGAATTTTTCTTTTTTTCTGCACTAATTGTTGCCGATATGGTAGTGTTTACGTTAATGGCTGAGAAATACAAGTTTGTCAATATAGACGCCGATAGTTCAGAAGATATCGTTTACTTCAAACAGGAAGGAAAGGAAAAAGTTCAAAATTAATCCATAAACGCAATAAAGGTGTTATCTATCATATCTGTGACTTATGATGTACTATATAAAATTTCTAATCTGATAAGTATTTCTTTCAGCGTCTAAAAAATATAAAATAAACTAAACAACTTACATTAAGTTTTATTTTTCTCTGAGAGATTTTAGAACCAGAAGCGATCAAATTAAATGGCATTTCCAAAACGTTTCTACAAAACTATTAGGACAATATTAATGATTTAGTAATTGCAATTAATAATATATTTGATCTACTATTGCATTTTTTTTTTAATTGTGTTGCAAGTATATTCAATAGAGGGACTAAAATTAATTATAGAATAATTCCTATTTAGATCATCTAAACACGGATTACTCTGACATTATGAATGCGATTGTTTGTTACCATTTTACGCCTTAACAACTTAATCGATTATCATGAAACTTTGTACACACATTGTCAGGGATACAAAAAAGGACATTGAGTACCTTTTATCCAGAAAAGAATACTGTTCCCGGAGGATAAAAAAATTCGTTTTTAGGACATCAACGAGAGCGAAGCCGTGGGTAAAACCTATCACGAAATTTTGTATACATATTGTCAGGGGTACAAAAAAGGACACAGAGTACCTTTTATCCAGAAAAAAGTGCGGTTCCCGAAGGATGCAAAAATTAGTTTCATGTGGTCGTCGATGATCTTTAATACGTATTTAGGATATTAACGCGAGCGAAGCCGCGGATAAAACCTACTTAACTATAAACTCGATTCCTACAGCTAAGCCTAACTGATTAAGTATCTGTAGATACCGCATTCTCTAAGAGGATAAAATGATAATCCTCAGTAAATGTATACCTTAAATAAGATAAAATAATGATCAACACAAAAAGGTACCGTGTTGCCGGAAGACTATATTTATAATAGTAATATATGAACAATTCTCCAGGGGAATCACCCATGCATCGACATTAGTTTTTACTTGGACCCAGTGGCGCACACATATGGTTTACAATCATGGGACGTGCAAGGAAACAAAATCTTTACCCTTTTTAGTACGAAACCTTTAGAATAGACAACCACACTCACGTCTAGTTCATTAATTTTAAAAATAATTCTGTACTGGAGTGTTAACAATGAGGATCTAAAAGAGGTTTAATTATTTTCTGTAGGTACTTGATACTAAACCAATTGACCTTCTCTTGAGGATTATCTCAACTCATTTATAAAATTATACTGATAATGTCGTAATGCGCAGAGGTTTACAGGTATTTTACAGAATTGTCAATCAATTAGATAAAATACCATTTCGTAAAAATAGCTTAAGCGTTCGTATCACGAAAGTAATACCGAATAGGTACCTACATATTATAGAGCATGTAAATTTTAATAATAATTGTTATGATATCTAAGCGACAGACACCTTAACTTATCACTTTTTTTTAACCGCTATCGCAGTCAAAGATTCAATTCGCCGCCTACGGGTTCATTCAATGAAGTGAATTTATAAGAATCAGTTCACTTTTTTTACGCACGAAGGGGAACAAATGCGACGATAACAAAGAACGCCGAGTTTTAAATTTTGATTTTAGACCAATTGAAAACATGGAAAAAGAAAAGGAACATGAACAAAAAGGTAAGATTCCAAGAATTTATTTACTAAAAAGTAGTAGCTTTCACGTTTATTTTTCACAAAGGTAGGTACCCTTTGGGTATTTCTGTGAAAGTTATTTTAATATAGGAGAAACTTTTATAAAATGTTTCTGTCAATATTTAGTGTTAATATATTTTCAAAATAATCGATATATTGTATAATGTGCGTGCCACTAAAACTCAGAAATGAGTCCCGGTACGATAAATGGAGTTGATGATGTGGTAACCCTCTATCTCCCGTCGATGAAGAAAGTTACTGTTTATATATAGAAATTTCAGACCAGAACATTCGAGAGTATTCGAGAGCATCCCAGAACATTATGGAATGTTGTGAAATGTTCAGAAATAGTCTGGAATGTCCCAAATCATTGTAGATCCTTCTAAAACACATTTGAATGCAACTCCAACCGACTAAGATCTAAAAACCCGAATCAGGTTAATCTTTTTCATCTTTCAATTAGACGTTTTGTTGGATGAAAGTTTACAGGATCCTAATCTGTAATAAGCCTTTTGCTAACAACCATTTAACACCACTGTTTAGGATAATCATGTAAATTTAGTAACATAAAATTATTTATTGTTATAAACTGTTATCTATATTTACAAATCAGATAATCTAAATCCTTTCAGTTTGGCATGTTTTTATTATTTGAAGTGCATCCGTTTTTGATATTTCTACATAAAGAAACTGAACCATTACTTTTATCCTTATCAATCAAACTTTTATGATGTCTTCAAGGTACAAATCCCAAGTATTTCCACTTACTTAAACGATCAAACCAAATGAATAATTAATAATAACATATATATATATATATATGAACCATTTTGACATTTAATAGGGGTTGATATCAAATTAATGTGAAAATTCTTTTTTAATTTTATCCCACTATAAACTACCTCAAATTAATGAGGGAAAAATTTGTTGCTGTCGTCACACCCTTCCTTCTGGTGAGAGCCTTGGTGCGTATAGCCAAAGGTCCCGAGTTCGAATCCCGGCGGGGGTGTGACAACAGCAACAAATTTTTCCCTCATCAGTTTGAGGTAGTTTATGGTGGGATAAAATTAAAAATGAATTTTCACATTAATTTAATAATAACAATTCCGTAGACTTCCAAATCTAAACTGAATAAATTTAAATAAAGTTAATTAACGGTGAGCAGCAAACAAAGATTGCTACAGCGCAGTCATGAAGTGACTTAGTGTACAACATCACAAAAATTTTTAATTATCGGTAAATGTTACCATCTTATCTACGGATAATGAAAATAGATAATGGATTTATACAATAGCCTACTTGACTTTTTACAAGCTTTTATTTAACTTCCAATGTATGTATGTATGTAACTATGTTTGTTCGGGTGGAATTTTAATAATAATATAATCATTTTTATAATGAAAAAGAGGTACAATTTTACCAATATTAATTTAACGAAAAATTTACTTTACATAGACAATTTAATTACGTCTATACAGAGATAATTGTATTCCAATCAAAATTATTGCTATCTACTATCGTTAACAAACAATTGATAATTTTCTTCAACTACAGCACTAATTGCTTTCTGTGACGTGTTAATGTACCTGTAAAATGTACAGGTACCTTTACCCGAGTTTATTAGTACATACATACGATATATACGTGCTCGATAAAGTTATAAAAAGCTTTGATAACGTGCCTACAACGTTTTATGTTTCGAGTATCTCATTAAAAACGTTTTAATGATTATTAGAAGGAAAAAAAGTGCGCACTCAAGTTGGCGGTCTTTTCCAAATAATTAAAAATGAAAAAATCTATTCGCAGTCGTAAACATAAGAACATCAAACAAAACAAAACAGCATTATAGTAGTAGTACCAGCCAACTACCATAAGTAATTTAACGGAATTAATTGCTAAAATTGCAGCTAGTGCAGAACGGCCCGCGTCAGTTTTCTTAAAAATTTCTCTGTGGACCATTATTACTTATTTAAAAATTAACTGATTAGAATATTATAATGGAATTAAAAATTGTTAAAACTGCTAAGTCACTGTGTTCACTCGCACGAGCCGCCGCTGCCCTCAATAATAATCACTCAATAAGAGTTCAATCGAATTATAGTCCACGCTTAATATTGATTGATGCAACTGCAACTTTGAAAATTGTTAACGATCACCGAACTCAATGTCGTTGTCTTTTTAATAAAAAAGAAAATAGACCGATCGGCATCATGTTGTTCGAGTTCGACGACATTATTATTAACAACTCTGAAAATTTCGCACTTTAATTTTGATAAATTATGAATGAATTGCGTACGCAGTATCATTGCCGTTTAATTAAATAACAAATAAAGTCAACGACCCATGGAAGTTGTATTTTATCTTTGGAATAGAAACGATATAGGAAATTTAAAAAAGAGAAGGAAATTGCGGTTCAAACTCGACTTGTCTACCACAGATCGTTCATGAATTTTTAGCAAACAAGTTCATCTCGGTTCATCAATGTATGAAAACAGTTGCTAAAAAGAAAACCTGAAAACTAATACTACAATAAATACAACTGTTTTCTGTTATAATAAAATAGATGTAAAATAATGATGTTAACATATAAAGTTTGCATCGTATTTATCGCCTAACGAATCATATCGGAATTTACAAGTGTTTAATCTATGATTACAATAAAATACAATCAAAGCATCTGTTTGATACAAATGTACAAATGTGGGTCAATAGTTTTAAAGGTATTTATAATGTAGAACACGGCAACAATGAAAGTGCACTTTCATTTGTTTATATTATGAATTGTAGTCTGATTATTATACAAAAAAACCAAATGCAATTCTAAGTTGTATCCAAAAGGTGGAGTAAAACTCAAAATCTTCTCTGCCCTACACTCATGGTTGTTGTAGGATGTAGGGCTTCCGAGTTTTGATGTTTACAACCCTTACGTTTGCTTCTCAATTCGCCACTAGGGTAAACAGATGAAAATCTACAACGATTCGACCCACCATGGTCCCCTGATACATATATATATATATATATATATATATATATATATAGTTCCCCAGTTATATTTTAATATCAGGTTGTAGGTACAAATTATGTACTTACTTAATTATTAATTACTCATTTGGATGATCGTTTTCCATTTTTACATTGACGGTGAACTAAATATTGAACTTAATTACGTTTAATGATCTGCTAAACACGAATTAATTGACGAAGTTCCCTGAAGGCGTCATTTTCTTAACATTTTAAAAGATATCCTTAGACGCGGCACCGCGGAAAGCGCTTCCGCTAACAAGAATATAACGATCAATAAAGCAATTAATTATTAGCAAGTCTTATTACGCAATTTAACCAAAAGATAATTGCCCTTCGTGAGTAAAGTTTTAATGATGTTTAATTGTTGCAAGTTAACTAGATGGATCTTTTACACAAAACCCATTTAAACCATTTTATACTACCTACTTTACAAATCTATTCTGTCAAGATTAATCCTGGAAAATATTTTTCTGTAGCAACCAACGCAACGCTTCAAAGGTGCGAAGAAGTTGCATAGGTATCTAGGTAGTTAAATTATTATTTATTATTAACTACTTATACAAAATCTTAATGTAGCAAAGTTAAAAGTCTGATAAAATCTTCTATTTTTTTTATTTTAGCTGTAGAAGCTATGGGCAAAACCAACGAAAATGACGAGAACTACGATAGTGAAGAAACTGATGTGGTAAGTTTCTTATTACTTTACTTACAGAATACCGTGGAAAAACATTCATGAGGTTATTAGAATGTGTAGCATCGGTGGTTCAGTGGTAGAATGCTCGCCTGCCACGCGGGCGGCCCGGGTTCGATTCCCGGCCGATGCAGACTTTTTACACCTAATTCATTAATTGTGATTGTTATTTTGTTTGCTATCGTTATCATCACTTGATAACGTTAAGTATTATTGCAATATGATATTGTGCAGGTAAACCCATATCTGTCCGCCTCCGTGGCGCAATCGGCTAGCGCGTTCGGCTGTTAACCGAAAGGTTGGTGGTTCGAGCCCACCCGGGGGCGAATGGATTTTTTAAATACAATTTCAAACCTTTAACAATATGCCCTATGTAACCTGACGCGGCCCTGATATGGATACCCTATCCCTTACAGGTATACTCCATTTAGCCTAACCTAGCCTTAATGGTAATACACTCTATCTGCACCCTCCTACATGATTCTCTATCAGAATTTCTTTGTGACTTGTCCTATTAAGGCTAATGGGGCCCTGATATGGATACTCAATATCAATCTTCATTTAAGAGTACACAATATTCAGCCTGATTTGGTCTTAATAGTGATAACCTATCTGAACCCTTTTGTGACTAGTCCTGTTAAGGCTGATATGGCTCTGATGCGGATACTCAATTTCAATTAGTTAATTGTATGCCCTATTCAGACTATTACGGCTGATGTGGCCCTAATTTCGATGCCCTATTCCAATCTTTATTTAAGAGTGTACTCTAGTCACCCTTACCTGGTCTTAATAGTGATAACGTATTTGATCCCTTCTGTGACTTGCCCTATTAACACTAATATGGCTCTGATGTGGATACCCAATTTCAATTCGTTAACTGTATGCCCTATTGAGGCTGATGTGGCCCTGATATAAACGCCCCGTTTACAGTCTTTAACTCTATGCCATATTTAGCCTTATACGGTGATACCCTATCAGTACTCCTTTACGACATGTCCTATCAAGGCTAATATGGCCCTGATATAGATACCCTATTCCAATCTTTATTTAAGAATATTATATATTGAGTCTGATCTGGTCTTAACAGTGATAACCTATCTGAACCCTTTTGTGACTAGCCTTATTAAGCTCTGATGTGGATACGCAACCTCAATTCATTAACTGTATGCCCTATTCAGACCCTGATATAAACGCCCCGTTTCTACTCTTTAACTGTATACCCTATTTAGCCTTATCTATCCTTAACGATGACACTCTATCATAACTTCTTTACGACATGTCCTATTAAGGCTGATGTGGCCCTGACATGGACACCCTATTAACACTGATATAACTCTGATGTGGATACTCAATTTCAATTCTAAAAGGTATGCTTTGATATGGACGCCCTGTTTCTACTCTTTAACTCTATACCCTATTTAGCCTTAGCTATCTCTAACGGTGATACCCTATCAGGGCCTCTTTATGGCATGTCCCAGTAAGACTGATGTGGCCCTGATATGGATATCCTATTCAAACTTTATTTAAGAGTATACTATATTCAGCCTGATCAGGTCTTAATAGTGATCACCTGTCTGAACCCTTTTGTAACTAGCCCTATTAAGACTGATATGGCTCTGATGTGGATACTCAATTTCAATTCGTTAACTGTATGCCCTGATATGCGCGCCCTGTTTCTGGTCTTTAACTGTGTACCCTATTTAACCTTATCCATTTCTAACGATGATACTCTATCAGAACTTATTTATGACATGTCCCAGTAAGACTGATGTGGCCCTGATATGGATATCCTATTCAAACTTTATTTAAGAGTATACTATATTTAGCCTGATCAGGTCTTAATAGTGATCACCTTTCTGAACCCTTTTGTGACTAGTCCTATTAAGAATGACATGGCTCTGATGTGGATACTCAATTTCAATTCGTTAACTGTATGCCCTGTTATGCGCCCTGTTTCTAGTCTTTAACTGTGTACCCTATTTAGCCATATCCATCTCTAACGGTGATACCCTATCAGGACCTCTTTATAACATGTCCTATTAAGACTGATGTGGCCTTGATATGATACTCTATTTCAGTCTTTATTTAAGAGTATACTATATTCAGCCTGACCTGGTCTTAATAGTGATAACCTATCTGAAACCTGGTCTTAATAGTGATAACCTATCTGAACCCTTTTGTAAGTAGCCCTATTGAGCCTGATATGGCTCTGACATGGATACTCAATATCAATTCGTTAACTGTATGTCCAATTTTGACTGATGTGGCCCTGATATGGTTACCCTATTCCAGTCTTTATTTAAGAGTATACTATATTCAGCCTGACCTGGTCTTAATAGTGATAACCTATCTGAACCCTTTTGTAACTAGCCCTATTAAGGCTGATATGGCTCTGACATGGATACTCAATATCAATTCGTTAACTGTATGTCCAATTTTGACTGATGTGGCCCTGATATGGTTACCCTATTCCAGTCTTTATTTAAGAGTATACTATATTCAGCCTGACCTGGTCTTAATAGTGATAACCTATCTGAACCCTTTTGTAACTAGCCCTATTAAGGCTGATATGGCTCTGACATGGATACTCAATATCAATTCGTTAACTGTATGTCCAATTTTGACTGATGTGGCCCTGATATGGTTACCCTATTCCAGTCTTTATTTAAGAGTATACTATATTCAGCCTGACCTGGTCTTAATAGTGATAACCTATCTGAACCCTTTTGTAACTAGCCCTATTAAGGCTGATATGGCTCTGACATGGATACTCAATATCAATTCGTTAACTGTATGTCCAATTTTGACTGATGTGGCCCTGATATGGTTACCCTATTCCAGTCTTTATTTAAGAGTATACTATATTCAGCCTGACCTGGTCTTAATAGTGATAACCTATCTGAACCCTTTTGTAACTAGCCCTATTAAGGCTGATATGGCTCTGACATGGATACTCAATATCAATTCGTTAACTGTATGTCCAATTTTGACTGATGTGGCCCTGATATGGTTACCCTATTCCAGTCTTTATTTAAGAGTATACTATATTCAGCCTGACCTGGTCTTAATAGTGATAACCTATCTGAAACCTTTTGTAACTAGCCCTATTAAGGCTGATCTGGCTCTGACATGAATACTCAATTTCAACTGTACGCCCTATTCTGGCTAAAGTGGACCTAATATGGACACTCTGTTTCTACTCTCTAAGTGTATACCCTGTTTAGCCTTATCTATCCCTAACTGTAATACCCTATCAGAACTTCTTTACGACATATCCTATTAAGGCTAATGTGGCCCTGATATGGATACCCTATTTCAATATTTATTTAAGAGTATACTGTATTTAGCCTGATCTGGTCTTAATAGTGATAACCTATCTGAATCCTGTTGTGACTTTCCCTATTAAGACTGATGCGGTGATTATTTAGCCTTATCTGGCCCTAATGGTGATACCTTATCTAAACCCCTTTGCGGCATGTCCCCAATGTGGCCCTAATGTGGATACACTATTTCACCCTTTAGAGGTGCTGATTCTTTTGAGAGCGTTATTAACTCGTTATAAATTAGTGACCCATAAAAAAATAGACGATTTTTTTATTCCAAGCTACTATAACATATTACCTTGTTGCATACTTATTTTATTTATTTATTCAGCATTTTCCTATTTATAATGAGAACAGATTATTATAATGTAATTTGTCCCAATTTTTTGAATTGTACAAATAAAAATACAATAGTTATTATTAGTACGTCGAAGAAATGGCATCATTGAAATCCTACAAAAAAAATAAACTCCCCTAGGATCTAATTTAGGAACTTGTTACTTCTATGCACCCCTTGTTCTAAATAACATATATGAAACCAAAAATATGAAAGGTATATTTTGAATTCTACACAATGATTACTGCAGTGCATTTACCTTCGAAACTAACGACCATCAGAAAGCAAATCATTAAGTATGGCAAATGTGACGGCCACATTCCGTCACACATTTATATAAAACAACCATAACTACAGTAAAAGTTTCAGTACGGTGAAACTTTGTTGACATACAACTACAAATCCTCGGCTACAGAATTGTACGTTTGTTGCTTTCGAACCGACTCATTATTGTCGTCTCACTCCTCTTCTTCATCAATGTGCTCTTAGTAAAATTATTATAATATGTAGACGTACGACATGACGCGAATGAATGACATTATCATAATTTAGTGTTATTATTTATTTATTGTATGCATATTATATTCAGCGTCGCAATTTTTTCAACAATAGAAAAAAATTTAAAATTTAGCGCAGGTCGATTTTCTACGCGATAAATGTGCAAATTCATGTTTTAAAGTGGATAGTTAACAATGTGTAGATACGGGTGTGTGATACCTAACAGTGCAATTTCACTAATTCTAATGTAAATGAAACTTTAAGATATGATAAAAAAAATTATTAGTGGAAATAAAGTTTATTCATTGTTTTAAAGTCGTAACGAACTACCTAAAAATGGGACTACCATCGCACAAAACAAAGGTAAAAGTAACCTTCACTATATTATTCTCTACTCTGACTTATTAAAAAAAAAAAAAAATGAAAACATCAATATCAACAATCGTCTTTTTTTATTACCTATTATTATTACACGGACGAAACTGCGAACAAAAAGTGGGTATATAAACGTAATATATGTGGTTCTAACACACAATGCCAATATTGTTAGTTAATCAATAAGTAGATCAATTTAAAATGGAAAGTTTAAAAGTACGAATTTGGGACATATTGTGTATTTAATGGTCCTCACTTGTTTTATTCAAAAAAGTGTTGAATGCAACAATTTTGCAACAAACATTACCCATTTTCACCTACTTTTTGTCAGTAATACTTTTTATTGCAGTTAATGTACCATTAACACTTTCAGCCTCGTTAATCTCGTAATGCCCGAAGATTATCTACTTTTTTGATAACTTAGGTATTAGGTAAAAAACACTTGGTTTTCCTTAAAAAATCAGATACAGTATGTCCCAAAATAAAATCTTTTGGCTCTAAAAACTTTATTAAAAAGAAATGTGGTATTTATTGGACTTTTAGAAATTCTGAAAATTCCAAATCTAATAAATTACATTAAAATTCTTGCAATTACTTGAAAATTATTACGAATTTTAAATTCAAAATTTTACAAATATTTGCTATTGAAGTTTACAAAATACAAATATTTAATTATTTCTTTTAAACTTTCTAAAGAACATTAGTAGTCCCTTATGAGCTCTTCAAAATTAAATTCGAAATGTTTTGTTGACAATGTTTTTGCTATTTTACGAAAGTCAATCGTCTTATTTTAATGTCTAGAATTTACAGTTACTATATATTTCGATTACATATTATGATTATGTAAGTTACCTGTCCGTTTTTAAAACCTTGATAAAAGTGAAATTGATTCCTTTAACTTGCTGCATTTATGCAGAACGAGTTTTGTTTTTAAGGTTAAAAAATAATCCGTTAACCTGCTTTAAACAATTACAGTAACCCAGTTATTAAAATTTTAATTTATTAATCTAAAAAGTATTTCGTATTATTACAAATAAGTAGACTGTTTATTTATATGTGGGACCATTTAAGGGTAATTTGTTTATTACTAATCAATGGCAGACAGAAAATATGTCTTTTATATTGTGTCCTCATTTTAATACAAGTTAATAAACTGTATATCATTTAAGAAATATGTCAATCGATTTTGGTCAACTACAAAATAAGTGAACTTAATCGTTATGGGTACAGACATTTCCATCTGAATCTTTTTGAAACCAATGTCTGGAAAAGGACAATTCATAATTTGTGTAGAATATCACAAGCTAATGCTATAATGTTATTTTTATGTTTACCAACATTTATTGCAAAATAAACTAACTATGGGAAATTTATTTATTATAATTATTCCTACGTCGATGTGATGGTAAACGAGATGAAAAATGATAATACAAAATTATCGAATTATCTGTCTGTCTGCCGATAAATAATGAGATTTACCAATAGGAACCTTACATTTTCAGTTGACCAAACTTTCTTCAATTTTATGGGTCGATTCTAACTAACTCCAGCTTGCTGAATTCAAATATTAAATAATTAAATTATTACATTATGCATTTTTTTTTTATTTTTACAGAAACTACCCTACCCAAAGTCAGTGTTTTTCATCGTAACAAATGAATTTTGTGAAAGATTCTGTTTCTATGGCATGCGAAGTAAGTATTTCACTCTATTCTTCATCATCAATTTTACACCACAACACTGTTTTACAAATATAAAAACTGTACGGATTTTCCTTATTGTTTTAATTGTTTTCTTTTCAAATGCTTGCAGACTATCTACTAGGATTGCTAATATTCATAAGTATAATAACAACTACTTTTATTCAAAAACTACTCTGTAAAAAACTCCGGAAATTCCATAATGTTACGTTTATGACCTTCATTAGAGATACAATTAACGGATTTACATAAAGTATAAACAAACCGATTTAGCCTACGATCAGAATTACACACATATAATTCCATTACTTTATTTAGATCTTCAAGTTCATAATCTTCCACAAAGAAAACTCTTTTTTCTGTTTAATGATAAGTATCATAGGAATTTGAAGTTAAATGCAATTTGTAAAAAAACCCAGGGTTGTATGCAATATTTCAGGTTAAAGGAGGTCATAATTTATAAAAAATTTCAATGTCAACCGGAAAAGTTGCAAAGTTGATGATGAATCCATATTATGTAACGGTGACCTAAGTTAGAACAGTATTTAATTATCTTTAGAACATAATGATTCGTCATTCGTATTTTAGATACAAAAAAGAATACCACTTTATTCACATTCAATTTTGTTTACGTGCGCTCAAAGTTGGATACAATTATACAAAAATCTAGCAATAAACTTGGACATTAACGAATTCCAGATTTATGCATCTTAGAATTATCGTTAGTCTTATTAGCTCCCCTCTGATGGGTGCACCACAAGGAGCGCCGTATCTCAAACACCTGCTCTTCCAATTAACGAATTACAGATTTCTGCATCTTGGACTTATCGTTAGTCCAATTAGCTCCCCTCTGATGGGTGCACCACAAGGAGCGCCGTATCTCAAACACCTGCTCTTCCAATTAACGAATTACAGATTTGTGCATCTTGGACTTATCGTTGGTCCCATTAACTCCATTCGAATGTGCGCACCACTGGCAGTATCACATTTCAAAGTTCCAACACCTTCTCGAATTATAGATTTCTCTATATCGAACTTATCTATAGTTCCATTAGCTCCCCACTAACGCGTACATTATTGTTCAAATGCCTGCTCTTCGAATTAACGAATTTTAGATTTCTGCATCTTGGACTTATCGTTAGTCCCATTAGCTCCCCTCTAATGGGTGCACCACAAGGAGCACCGTATCTCAAACACCTGCTCTTCCAATTAACGAATTACAGATTTCTGCTTCTTGGACTTAACATTGATCCCATTAACTCCATTCCAGTGTGCGCACCACTGGGAGTATCACAGTTTAAAGTTACAAAACTTCTGGTCTAGACAATTGCTTAGCATTCGGGAGGACTCCGGTTCGATTCCGGGTCCGTCTGCCTTGATTCAAGTTTTCTGTGGTTTCCTTGGATCACTTAGGCTTCTTCTGTTTTCATTTCGTTAGTCTCATCTTTCTCACCCGAACCACCACCCACCCATTCCCACGATTCCTGAAAGGAGGAGACTATCTTCCGGTGTAGTCCGGAGGGACTGTTCGCCCACCAGCATTAGTGGCTGGTGGGAATGAAACACCCAAAAGTTTTTTTTCCCATTACATCCCCTCCAGTATGTGCACCACTGGGACTGCCACAGTTCAAACGCTACCTCTTAAATTTGTCAGAATATGAACCCGTATAATAATTTCTTGTTTTTTTCTTTCAGCAATCCTTAGCCTTTACCTCACTGACATCCTCCTCTACTCCGAGAGTACAGCAACGGTAATATACCACACTTTCGTCGTCCTGGTGTATTTCTTCCCAATTATAGGGGCAATGATTGCCGACAGTTTTCTCGGAAAATTTCGTACGATTGTTTACCTGTCGTGTGTGTACGCAACCGGAAATGCACTTCTTGCCTTAACTGCCGCACCACCTCTTAACTTTCCGTTACGAACTATGACCCTAATAGGTCTTCTTCTGATAGCAGTTGGATCAGGGGGTATAAAACCATGCGTGTCAGCTTTTGGCGGGGACCAATTCACTCTACCGTATCAGGCTTCCCAATTATCAAAATTCTTTTCCGTGTTTTACTTTTCCATTAATTTTGGAAGTTTTATCTCCACGTTTGTCACCCCCATATTGAGGGAAGATGTCAAATGTTTCGGTGACGATAGCTGCTATTCGTTAGCTTTTGCTGTGCCAGGGGTTCTGATGGTTATATCCATAGGTAAGGCATTTTCTTCCACTATATATATATATATATACATAGCGTGATAATTTAAATTTATTATTAATTAGTGGTTCAAGGTTTTCAAAACTTAACTGTTTCAAGTATATCAAAAATTAGACCATGAACCAAATGTTACAATGTATAAAAGATTTCTATTTAATTTATTTGTTTACGTTTCCATTTCTCTATAAAACTAAGTACAGTAAATTTTATGTTATGAAATATCGCTCAATTACCGTTTCTTATCACGTATTGCGCCGCATAAATTCTGTATTATCAGCTTAGTTTTTTTTAACTATACTTAATATGTAATATTAATTTTAATGTCATACTTAAATAGATTAGAAGTTTTTCAATAATGCGGCAATTTTTTCAGTCGTTTTCGTGGCGGGTAAACCATTTTACAAAATCAAACCTCCAGAGGGAAATGTGGTACTTAAAGTCAGCAAATGTATTGGGGTAAGTAGCAAGTACGAGGGTGGATTGATAAGTTTCCGGCCTAACCAAGAGATGACGCCACTAGGCCTACCTTGAGGTGACATTCTATAGTACCATCCTTGGATAGCTTGTAGCTATAGTTTCAGCCCGATCTCCTTGCTAGTGTAGGTTTGACAGCACGCTGAACAAGACGCCTCTGTGGTTTTCGTAAAAATGGAAAAGCAGGAAAATCGTGCTGTCATCAAATACTTTTATTTGAAGGGGTTAACGCCGAAGGAAATTAAAAAAGAGATGGACTCAACACTGGGGACATCCTCCCCGTCATATTCAACCGTTAAGCAGTGGGTTTCCGAGTTTAAAAAGGGTCGTGTGAGCACCTCTGATGGGCCTCGCTCAGGACGCCCCGTTGAGGTCACAACTCCAGATATGATCGAAAAAATTCATCAAATAGTGCTGGGAGACCGCAGATTGAAAGTGCGTGAGATAGCTGAGACCTGTAAGATGTCATATGAACGTGTGCAACATATTTTGCACCAACATTTGCATATGGAAAAGCTCTGTGCAAGATGGGTGCCGCGTTTGCTAACAGTCGACCAAAAATTGATTCGAAAAAACATTTCTACCGCAAATTTGTCATTGTATAAGCGTAATCCAAGCGAATTTTTGCGTCGATTCGTAACCGTTGACGAAACGTGGGTCCACCACTACACTCCTGAAACCAAAGAACAGTCTAAACAGTGGATTGGACCAGGGGAACCAACTCCAAAGAAGGCAAAAACAATTTTTTCGGCGAACAAGGTTATGGCTACTGTTTTTTGGGATGCAAGAGGTATTATATACATTGATTACCTTGCAAAGGGTAATACTATCACTGGTCAATACTACGCAGACTTATTGCAACGTTTGAGCCACGAGGTGAAAATTAAACGACCTCATCTGGCGAAGAAAAAAATCTTGTTTCATCACGATAACGCACCAGCGCACACGTCAATCGTTGCGACGGCTAAAATCAACGATCTAAAGTTTGAATTGATGCCGCACCCTCCTTACTCTCCAGACCTAGCCCCGAGTGACTATTTTCTGTTCCCTAATCTCAAAAAATGGCTTGGCGGTAAGAGATTTGCGGACAATGAAGAAGTAATCGAAGCTGTAAATGGTTATTTTGAGGAGCTTGACGAATCAGTCTATAGAGATGGCATTAATAGACTGGAACACCGCTATGAGAAATGTATCAGCCTTGGAGGAGATTATGTTGAGAAATAAAAAAAAAAAATTTTTAAAAACCTTGTTTTTCTTGGTCAGGCCGGAAACTTATCAATCCACCCTCGTATTGTACTTGCAGCCTTCTAACATACGGGATTTTTTTATTATTAATTTGTGGAAGGGAATTTCTCGTCTTCACATCCCTGTTGTCGTTTCTCCAATTCCCCATTTCGGTTATAGAATGCCATCGTTACCAGGATGAAGACCAAAGAAAGGAACCGTGAACACTGGCTGGATTATGCCAAAGAAAAATACGACTCCCAATTAATTCAAGATATAAAAGACACACTAAGGGTTTTAGTTCTGTTCCTGCCTCTTCCCGTATTCTGGGCCCTTTACGACCAGCAAGGTACCGGTTGGACTTTTATGGCTCGAAGAATGGATGGATACATTGGCTTCTACACAATTCTTCCCGATCAGATGCAGGTAAATTTATTTCTTTTGAAGTTCATTGCCTATTTTTAAATGTTTGCATTAAATCACAGGTGGTTAATTCAATTCTAATTCTTGGCTTCATCCCATTGTTCGATTACGTTATATATCCAGCGTTGGACAAGTGCAGAATTCTGACTAAACCCCTTCAACGGTTAACAACAGGTGGTATATTTGCTGCTGCGGCTTTTGCAATCTCGGCAGTCATAGCCCTATTTATCGAACAGACTTACCCCCAGCTTCCATCAGCGGGCAATGCTCAGTTGAGAATTTACAACGTTTTACCCTGCGACATCCGCCTTACGTCGCCTAATTTAAATAATGGTCAAACAATTTTCATAAAAAGTCTGGAAAGTTATACGAATATTGATCTTTCGGTTACTAGAAGTGCAACATACAACTACATGGTGGATAGTACGTGTTCTTCTGTCAGTGGATCGTTCCAATTAACGGAAAAAACTGCAGCAGGTTACTATTTCAATGAACTAAACGGAGCCGCTCGGTATTTTGAAGATGACGTTTCCAAAAGCACAAATGGATATCCCAGTGTCCGGTAAGAAACACGTTTGCCTCAGATGACTGTGCAATTCCTTAATATCATCATCATCATCATCATAAGGTCGTCAGTCTGAAGACTGGTTGGACACGTACCTCCACTCTCCTATCCTGAGCTAAACTTCGCATTTCCATAAAACTAGAACAGCCCACATCCTTAACTATTTGCGAACAGTAATCTAATCTAGGTCTACCTCTACCCCTCCTAACTCCTGTTTCTGCCTCTAATATGTCTCTGACTAGACCTTCATGCCTGAGAAGGTGTCCTACCAACCTATCTCGCCTATTTTTTATTGACTTCCATAGAGTCCTCTGTTCTCCTATTCTTTCCAATACCTCTTCATTTCTAACCTTTTCTACCCACGATATCCTCATCATCCGCCTATAACACCACATTTCGAACGCTTCTAACCTTTTCTTTTCCGCCGCTCCCACTGTCCATGTTTCGCACCCGTACAACGCCGTGCTCCAAACATACACCTTTAACAACCTTTTTCGAATTTCTAAATTAACCGTTCGCGAGCATAGAAGTGACTTCTTTTTATTAAAGGCGACACGACCCTGCGCTATCCTCTGCTTTATATCCCTACTACTCCTTCCATCCTGACTTATCTGACTTCCTAGGTATCTAAAATCAGCCACTTCTTCTAATTTTTCGTCTCCTATCTTTATATTCGCTCTTTCCCTACTTTTTCTTCCCTTGCATACCAGTATTTTAGTTTTACTTTTATTTATTTTCATACAGTACTGATCTGTCAGTACCGCTTCCATTTTATTTAAAGCTATCTCTAAGTCCCCCTTGCTAGATGCTAATACTGCTATTATTTATTATTTATTCCTTAATAGTGACATTTATTTTCAGAACCTTATTCAACAGTGCCGATTCTTTGCCTGTTACTTTTACCGACAGCGGTGGCGTAGAAAGGCTTTCCATCGGCAGTTCAAATTCTTCACTATTTTCTCTTAGTCCTGATACGTACAAGGTCAGAATTGGAAGCACTTTCTCCCAAGACGTGACACTGTCACTGGGGGGAGTATATTCCTTGTTGGCACTGGTTAATTCTCCATCCAGCATTGTAAGTACAATATAAAATAAATACATAAAGGTAAACCAATGACCGGTTGCTTTTACAAATAAAAATTTACAAATATTTCACTCAATATGTCTTCTTCTTTGATCAGGATTAAATAGATTTGAAACCTACCATTTTCTGCACTTTTAATGCCTCTTTTTCATCCGTTTCTAAATAGCAAAACCTTCTTCAGTTTATAACTGATACTCTTTTGAAAGGTCTTAATCTATTTTGTCTTTTGAGTCCATCAAGGACAAATTTTAGATTATCGATAAATTTCTTCAGTGTTGTGATGATCATTATTCACTGTAACCCAGGACGAGGTTGAAAAAGGTTAGGTTCATGGCTTTGATCAAAAATAATGTACTATTTAATTATTAAAGGTTCTCCCGGTCATTGGTTTACTAAATCTTTCTACAGATAGCAGAAGTAACACCCTTCCGTACCCTCTTTTCAGACATTGAATTTAATAGAAGTTACAAGGCCCAACAGTGTCCACATGCTACTGCTCATTCCACAGTATATCATTATAACAGCCGGGGAAATTATGTTTTCCATAACTGGATTGGAATTTGCCTATTCTCAAGCGCCTACGAGTATGAAGTCGGTATTGACAGCTGGATGGTTGCTTACAACTGCTTTTGGCAATGTTATCGTCATTATCATACAAGCAATTGAAATTTTCGAAGAACAGGTAATGTGATTACGAAACTATGAATGAACTTTTCCGAATCTTCTGTATTTCAAATTTAATTTATTTATAAATATCTCATAGTTTTGGTCGTAAGTCAAAAACAATGTGCTAATTACAAAACTATTGTTTGGGAACGTGTAAGTCATTTCATGTATGATATCGACCCCACTCGACCTTGGAACCCCACATTATACTTTGACCTTCAACTTGGGCAACAAAAATAAACTAAATTTTACATTACCAATTTTTGAAATGACTAACAATGGAGTCGTATCGAAAAGGCCCCTTTTTCGGCTCTCTTAGTTTGAATATTTGTTATCCATAAAAAAGTGCTATTTTCATTTTTTTTTTATTTTTATTTCAGTCCAAAACCTTCTTTTTGTATACCGGCATTATGTTGTTGGACATGATAATATTTGCTTTGATGGCCACGAGATACAAGTACGTCAACAGGAGCGACAGTGATAGCGAAGAAATCGATCTTCCAATAAAAACCAATGGCGTCGAAAATGCGACCTACATGAATGAAGAAAAACAGAAATAAAGTTCCTTATTTTCGCTTTAATTTATTATTTAATTTCACACGTTACGTACTTGCTTTACTTAATATGTATAATGTACAGTTTAATTATATTTATACACATGTTATATGTACCTACATTTAAACCTCTAGCTAAAAAATGATTTAAAAGTTGTCAAATGCTACGAACATCAAGAATGATAAGAACTGGATGGCACAATCAGACAAGGGGATGACCTTTCTCAGTCCCAGAAGCAACCCTGTATAACTACTAATGCCAATTTTTGTTTTCGAAATTATGCAACCGCAATAACACGAGTGTATTTTCTGTTTTCTATTTATAATATTGTTAATAGCAGAAAAGCAATGGTAATTCTTGACCAATTTTCTTTCAAATTTTCATTACAATTTTCATTTTGTCATATGATATATCTATAATAATCTGTGTATGGAGCTAGTTCATGTTGTAATGGACGGATGGTTAATTTATCACTCTAAATTTAACTTTAAAGAAATACATAAAATATCACAATTTATTATCCTGAAATTCTTGAAAAATATAATTCAATGTATCTGTGTCATTTGTGTAATTATACATTGAAGAAAAATATAAATTTACAAGAGACTGCAGTCTTGATAATAAGTCAGAAGGGACGTTACAAACAATCAACAAATAACTTTTGTCATTATTTTGGACATTGCTGAATACTTTGACTGAATCATATAAATTTGCAGTTATAAGAGCTGAATTAAAGGGATTATAATTTGGAGAAAGTAGATTGCAATATTCTTCAAACCCTGTCACTATGGTCAATTTTGGTGTTTTATGCCAGAGATGAACTCCATTTAAATGAGTCAATAACTCAGGCAAGTCTTTCAAATAACTGAAAAGTACAAACAAAAATAATACTGGATATTTGTTTCAAATTTTTGAAATGTACTCACAAAAAAGTTAGTAACTTAAGGACTTGCTTGTCGCAAATATTTATATTTTCAGGTAACTGTTTAATTTGTTTTGGTGAGTATATCCACACACCATGTCCAAGCTCAGAGTAATGTATTGCACACTAAAATTACTTAATATTTATGCATAGTTATGTATCGGATTTTAAAAATACCTTAAAGACTACTGATTCCAAATTTTCTCCATTAACCAAAACCGATACAACGTTTTCCGGTAACATAAACATTTTTCCTCTTATCTTATTATGTTATGTTTACATTTTTACATATGCGGATGATAGTTTTGATTCTGGGTAATAAATTCTGGGGAGGGAGGATTGAATGAGTCTATCTCACATTCTGTTTCTCCCTTTGTTTCCTATTCCACGCATACATTCCACGCATGTAAATCTTTATAACTGCGCAATTTTTGCATGTCTTGCGCGTTAAGGACTTATTAAGGACTTACTGGAGTGGTGAAAGGTCGCGATTTGACGTTTATGAGTTGACATTTATATATGTTGTATTTGTTTCTCGATATATAGAATAAAAACTGAAAGGTGTTTGTCAACAAATACACAGTGAAAATTATTAGTTTAACCTTCTGATTATGGAGAAATAGTTTATGAAAACAGACATTTAGCAAACGTTAGTGTATCAGTGAACGTTACGTGAATTAATTGTAAACTTTTATTAAACATGGACTCCAGAAAGGCAGACCTTGTTATCAAGTACAATTTACACTGGAAAAATGCCCCCAAAAGCAGCATGAAAAACAGGGTAAATATTGTTGGAATGTGTGACCTGTCAACATCATCCAGAAATCTAGAACAATTTAAGTCATATTTGGTAAGTCTGTGTGTATGGTATATGCTTTCGATAAAGGGGATTAATCATATTACTTCACATAGCTGAAAAATTCGGGGGCAACTGGTGATGACGTCAAAGTGTCATATATAGGTGATGAGGATAAGGAGTTTCCCATAGAGACCCAGGAGGACTTTCACACTGCCCTCAACTATTTTCGTGAAGTAGCCCGTAGTGGTAACACTATTACTCTGAAACTTGAATCAGTCTTTTACAAGAACAAGACAGATCTATTGAAAAGAAGTGTGAGTTCTTCTGAGGATAGTTCAAGGGATGTCAATGAAGAACATTGGTATCAGGTGGTGGATGAAAATGTAGACTTATTCTCAGAGCCTCCCACATGGTTCACAAAATACATGACCAAGGTAAACATTTATCCATTATGAAATATATTCCCAAAAGGAAATAGAAATCCATTGAAACCATTGAACTTTGTTTCAGTTCAAGGATGATCTAGTTAAGGAAATAAATAATGCTGTTTTAAAGTCTGTCTCTGGTACAATACCCAAAAATACAATTTCTACTAACACGCCACCAGAAAATGCACCAGTGAAACAAATAAGAAAGAAGCATAAAGTTAAGACCAATCTCATGGAGATGCCAAGTGGTTCCTCAATGTCCAAAAAGAAAATGAAAGCTGGTAGAAGCTTTGTTAAAGCATCAGGGGACAATATTGTGGCAGAGTATATAATACCATGGTTTATTGTAAAATTTATATTTCTTACTAATATTTTTTTAATAGGAAAAATGCATTGAAAGAGCAAAAATTAGATCAGAAACTTGCTAAACTTGAAAACAAAACTCTGAAAATAAAAGCTAAGAAAGCAATGCTTCAAATGAAGTTAGGCGCGGAATCCAGCCGTTCCAGTAAACATCATCACCACTATCACAATTCCAACCAACAACCCACTGATACTTTTGCAGCTGAGATCGAAAATCTAATGGGGGCCATTCCTATTCGACAACGTGAGACCACAGTTCCTCGTATGCTGGGTGGACAGGTTTTAGAGCACGAATGGGAAGTAATGAATACTGGACAGTTACCCTGGACTGCTGAGGTAGGTAAAAATCGGGAACACCATCCTTTCAATTAAATCTTTTAGAGGGAGGTTGATTAAATTTAATTTCTCTATTTGTCTTTAATATCCTCCTAATCTGAGCACTTTACAACAGCGTCTGGTGTTCCTCAAGGTAGTATTCTCGGGTCCATACTATTTGGTATATTTAGTAATAGTTGACCAAATATTATTCTATTTTTAGAATTTTTATTGCTCCAAGATTTTCAAAGCTATTCATCCCTTCTAGAGATGATTGTATCCAATTGCAAAATGATTTTAATTCTGTGGGGCCACTATAATTCTAAAAATATTTTTTTGTTTATTTTCAGACTGAACTTCATTATGCATGGGGTTCAGTAGCTTTGCAGCCCTTACATCTCACTTACAGTTGCCCTTATCTGCAGCCTGGTGAAAAGGGAATTGTTAAAGTGCAATTGAAAATACCAAGTACGATTTACGTATGTATTATGCCAAATTATTTATTAAAACTTTTGTATTTCACTCACAGAAAAGCCGGGTAAGTATGAGAATTACTGGTACTTCCATCATCTAGGACGTCGTTTCGGCCATTGGCTGGGTTGTCAAGTGGTGGTTGATCAATCGCATCTTAAAACTAAACAGTGTAGCATCTCAAACGACACTCTCAACCCATTTGCAGAAAATCAAACCTTGAAGTTGAAGTCAGACGTGTCTAATCTCCCAAAGCGTGATGGCTTTAATTCACCGACTTCGTTCGTTGACAATTTACCACCCGTTGATGATCCTAGCTTTACAGCTTTAGAAATTTCGAAATTAATCGATGATTTAAAAGGAAAAATATGTAACTCAGAAACGATACCGGACACCACAACAAATACAAATACTTTGGACAATAACAAAGACATTAATTTGAAAATATCCGACGTGAATCTAAACAAACAGGAAAAGGAACTACTGCAAAAGGACATCCTTGACATTGATACAAAATTGGTTGATCTTAAAATTTGTAATAGCGATGACATCAGCACAACTTCAGATAGTGACAATCAGAGTATCGTTTCCGTTACTGAAAGTAACACTACATCCGGTTCAGAAATGTCTGAAGAATTTGTCCTTGTAAAGAAACCTATAGAAATAGTTGAAAAAGAATCTTGTGAAATCGACAATGAAAAAAATAACAACAATAACGAAGCTAACGTAGACAATAAACCTCGGAAAAGTGGCAGTTCCTTTATTTTGGAGATACCCAACGACGACTCCGAAGTTGAAGATTACATTAAAATCAACAAAACCATAATTCCACTCCCAGTCGTTCGAGTACAGGCTGAAAAAAAATCTGACGAAAACGGTGAACAAAAAATGGAGGAGAAAAAAAATGAAGAAAATGAAGAGGTCACTGATGACCAACCTAAAATTGAAAATCACTCAATTTGTAAAGAAGGAGTAGACGCAAACAAAACCAACGATCCCCTAGAACGAACTTGCATCACAGTTGATGGTGTTCAATTGTTGGTCCCAACTAAATTTCTACGTCAAGATTTCCTAAACAAGATTGAATCCACAAATTCGGACAATCAAACAGAAGCAACAAAAGAAAACACCACCGATCCATCGGAAACGCCCAAAACAAACAATGCTGTTCCAGTGAAGGAGGAGAACGCTGTGCAAGAACAAACAATTCCAGTAAAAGACGATCCAGACAATGCAAGAAACACGCAAAGCATTTATGTATCAGCAGCAACAACTCCAGATCTCTCATTATCATCCTTGCAGGGAAATGCCAATAGTGAAAATGGAAAATCTACAATTGAAGAGGGAGATGCTAAAAGTAATTCCAATAGTAACAGATTGTTCGTATTCCCACAGAGCTGTCCCGGATTTGAGGTCATCTACCCCCCCAATAGCACCGACAGTTTCATTGGATACTCAGTTGACAACAGCAATGGACAGGTAACAACTCCCCAAAATATCTTTTTTACTCATTTCATCATTGTGAATAACCTTTTCAGGCCACTAACCCCTTTCAATCAGACTTGATAGCGTGGTTCTCTCACAATAGTGGTCCAGGAACTCCGTCGTCATTCTATCCGGTCGAACATCTTCCCCAAACTTATAGTCACTCTACTTCCGGCGCGGGTTACCCGAACTATACCTTCCAACAGCAGTACTCTTATCCCAATTACGATCAACAAATGTTATTCAATGGTTTTCCGCAATATTCTCATGCCGCCTCTTACAATACTAACAATGCTACTTCAGCTAACGCTTTCAGGACATTTGTCGAAGAACAACAGAGATCTAATTTCGGTAATTCGACTTCTTTTGCGGAAGCAACTGCCAGTGCGAGAACATTCCACAATTCGAATGTTGCGGAACAACCGAGAGTCTTCTCCAGAACAACTTCTTCTGCTAGTTCTTTCACGGCCGAAGAAAATTTGGAACGAACTTCTTCTTTAAACTCTTCCAACACACAAGGGGCTGATACATCACGAGTAACTACAAATAATCCTGTTGAAAGTCCATCAGGAAGTAGTACACCTCTTCAGAGTCCTCCAATTTCCGGAAGGATGCGCGAAGGAATCCGCAATTCTGGATTTAAAGGGATATTACCCGTTTCTGTGACCGCTGTTCCCGAAAACATCGTCACGGGAGCAGTTAATGTTGCTTCTTCTGCCATTAACACGGCACGTTCAGTACTTAACATGTTCAACCCAGAGGTAAATCATTACAGAGTTTTTAAGCTAATCTTAACCCGGATTAGATTTTCTTTTTTAATTTTTTAAAAATTCCTTGGATATAATAACAAAACAATATATTTTTGTAGCCTGGCACTTGGGTAAACGGTCATTGGGTTCCTAGGGATCTCGATTCAAGACGAGAAAGAGCTTTGAGAATTCTAGATGAAATGGGTTTCCGAAACCGGGATTACAATGCGACGCTTTTAGCACGCTATAGCGATGACATTACGCAAGTAATATCTGAACTCGTCCAATAAATAAAGTGCTTACGAAAATTTAGGGATGTACTTGCAATATTTACATGCCTATATGTAGTTGTTATACAAACATATAAATATTTGAAATAAAATTATTTTGTTTCGTTTAGGAGTCTAGAAAACCGTTTTTATTACTTTAGTTTGACAAATTATAGGAGTAACAACAATTAAGACGAGATAAAGTGTGAATTAACAATGGAATTGGAATTCTTTTGTAATTAAATGTAACATGCATCAATACATTTTAAAATTTCAAAATGGTCATCTGTAGTAAGCTAGATGTGATAATTTTTTCGTTTATTTAAATATTATATACATGTATATGTATAAAGTATACATATAAATGTAGGAAAACTAAATTTTAGCTTTCAGTTCTGACAAAAAATTAATAAAGCGCCTATTCGTTATTTAATGTGCTATTTTGCAGTAGTTTTTTTTTTAATGTTAAGTAAAGGAGAAACATTTAATAGAGGTATTTAGCAAAAACTGTAGAACGTAAGATGAAGTACTTTTTCAATTTACTGTTATAATCATATGTATGTACACATAAGAGGTACCTAATCCATAAAATATGTAATCGTTTGAGTATTGTGTTATTTGAACAAATAAAGAAGAAAATTCATTTTCACTTTTTTTTATTTTCCATAAAGAAAACTGAAATGAATTCAAAATATAATTAGGAGTGGGATATAAATTGAAAACGATTTGAAAATAAGTTTCTCTATACCCATTCAACGGCTTGGCAGTGATAAACACTGGTATTCTTAAGTTAATCAAATAGCAAATCACTAGAGGGCGCTCTTGGAAGATTTAAAATCAGATGGTTAAACTGATAGAAAATTTCTTGTAAATACACTATTAACAAGCCAAAACCTTCTTTATTGAAACTATTTTAGTCTTCATCTATTGTGAATTTATCAACGATTATCATTTTAAAAGAGAATTATTTACATTTAAGTTGTTTAAGCTTTAATTTGAGGAAGTAGATGATGGGCTGATAGATGATGTCATTGACCCCTGAAATGGAAAAGAGAAAGTGTCTTGGAGAAGCTGAACCAGTACCTAATGATTTTGACCGCGAAACCCGTCGTATTTTTTTAGTAAGAAAGCATATGTAAGTTGGCATTATGCCAGTCCAATTGGCAGTAAAATTGAACCGAAATGCGGGATGTAAGTTGAATGTCAAAGATTAAGGTTATCATAAAACAACAGTAAATATAAAGCATCCTTTACCTAAAATTACCAGTTACTGTTCATTATTATGTAAACGTCGTATAATGGTACAACATGACCCTAAAATATGAAACTAGTATTTTACAGTCCATCTCAAATTTTTTGAGTATCATAACAATATTTTCATGTTTTATATTAAAAATTCCCCAAATTATCAACATACTCAGAGTAAAAAATGCACATGGCATCAGTTTAATAGGCTTATGCATGGAATTGTTCAGGTATGAATTCAGAATTGGAATTGCATTTAATTAATAAACATTCTTTTAGTTACACTACAATGTTCTCATATAATTTTCGAAACCATTATGCCATACTTACTTATTTGGAATATCCTATAATATTAATTCAAGAACTAATTCTAATTACTATCACATTCTACTACAAGAATTTTTTTAACATTGGTTTTTTTGCTGGAGCATCAATTTATTGTTCTATGGCTTTCGGAATGTTGTATGGAATTATTCCAAGGGAGTTTTTAACTTTCTTAGTGGTAAATAGCATTAATGATTATATTCATGCAACACCACATATGTATCAATTTAATAATTTAGCCATTGTGTACTCCAATCGGAGCCTCCTCAAAGGTCATCCAGTTGTTAGAGATTTTAAGAAGTGGTACTGCTGAATCTGTCAGCATATTGACATGGTTCCTATCAGCATTTACAAATGCCAGTGAGTACATTTTTAATAATAAACAATCTAACAGATTTTCATAAAAATAATTTCCCATTTAGCTAGGATATTTACAATCCTTATGGATTCATCTGACATGGTTTTGTTGTTAAATTTCTCCATAAATACCATGCTGAGTGCTTCAATTATGATAACAGCATACTTCTTTAAAGCAAAGAACATTCATAAAATGCACACCGAATGATTTAATGAACTAAACTAATACCTATTCGTTTGTTAAAAATTAGACTGAATACTTTATATTATTGTTGTTTCTATTTCTAAAATCGTCTTCATTGAACTTTGATATTAAAAGTCAAGGCAGAGTTTTATAGAGGCTCTTTCTAGTAAGAGGACTACCTTTTGCTTATACAATCTCGTTAAGCGCCATCTAGCGCTGTTAATGCAACGAGATATTGAAGACTCAAACCCTCAATTGTCCTTTAGTCGAATTTACTAATGCCTCTCTATTATTTTAAGGGTGCACAGTTTAATAAAGTTATACAAAATTGTATTTTTTGTGAAATAAACTCGTTTCTTTATAATAGAGTAGTTATAATTTGAAGTTCTACCGCCTTTACGCAAGTCAGTACTACATAGGGGTACCAACTATTTGAATTTAACAGGCACTAAATCCCATTATGTATACAAGAATCCATATGTAAAAGAGCTTTTCAAGAAGTAAAGAATATAGAAAATTAATGGATGATTTACTCAACACTAGCGAACTTAAACTACCAAGGCATACGAACTAAAACGAAAAAACAATCGCAACCTAAACGAATAGTGTTGTGTGTGTGTGTGTGTGTGTGTGTTAAGGTGTGTTTTGTTAATTATTTTTTTCTTGAAGACATTTGTAACCAATGGAAATCTGAAAAAAAAAAGAAATAAAAAGTTAGTGTCTACTTGATTCCACAAATTGCATTATTTTATTATTCATTTTACTTACTGTTTAATGCTGAAAAAAATCAGAAGGCATAAATTAATAATAAATAATAATTTAATACAATGCAAAGTACTTACTTTAATTGCTTTTTAAAATAATTAATGTGCCAAAGTAAAAAATGGGCACTTTCAACGGAATTCGTTATTTCCAATTTGCATTTCCTACCATGTTATATTGCGTAAACAAAGTTTGTAAAAAAAATCGACAAACCCTTATTTAATCTTCACCTTGTAAGTATAACAGTGACAGCTATTCGAATAAAGCGGTACGATATTGTAGGCACATAATATGTAAGCAGTTACCGAAAAAGGGCACCTAATCTAATTTAACCAACAATATACGTACGTTACTACCTCAAAATCACTTTCAAAAGTTAATAAATGCGTTATTGTACGACATAATCAAAGATCAAATAAAATTCTATCTGTTACTTACGTAAAAACGATTTAAATAAGTAATAAGGATAATTAATTAATCACATTAAGCGCCATCTAGTGTTGTTAACCTAACGACATTTTTAAGACTCAAACCCTTTTTTAATTGCATTCTAGTCGAATTTACTAATGTCTCTCTATTATTTTAAGGATATTGGACATGCATAGTTCAATAAAGTTGTATAAAATTGTATTTGTTGTGAAATAATTTAGTTCCAAGTTATCAAATCAATACTACATGCAACCCTTTTTTTTTAATAAGTTAAATAACAAACACATAATTTTATAAGCAGTTACCAAAAAATCATTATCATTATCAATGAACTAACAAAATTGTTTTATAAAAAGGTTAAAATAAGGAAAAATGCAAATCCTAATAAAAATACTAAATAATCCTTCAGTAAGTACTGAATTGATACCTACAAGAGACATTACTCTATAACTGGTATAATAAGAAGTAATCTAAAATTTTGTGGAACATGTACAATTCTTAAAGCAATATTTCAAGATAAAGTGCCTTTTTGTGTTTTTGATATAACGTAGCGCCATCTTTGAACCGTTTCGCGAACCACCACGGTTAGTCTGCCTTTTTTTTAATACTAGCTATATACACTGTACCCTTAACATGCACCAAACACTATTCACTACACTTCCTGAAATACATAAAAAATCAAATAGATCGAGTGACAAGTAAATACATAAATAGACTTATTATTAATAAAAAACATATTAAAATGTGTATGTGGAACGTGGACTCCGATGCCCCTAACGATAGCTTGGAAAAACACCCTATACAGTACCCAACAGTGCCAGATTACCCAATAATAACCACAGGAAGCACAAAAAGTGTCGATATGCAGTTTTATGTTAATGTCACATGTAGACAACCCAACATACAGCGTCACTGTGTAAGTTGGATTGCCTACACGTGACAATGTATTTTGGGTTCCTCGAATATTCTACAGTGAAATAATAATTAATTAACAATTGTGGTGTTGATTAAAATGGGTAAATAGATAAATAAATTAGCGACTAGTCAAAAAATGTATTACGTGGCAATAAAATCAATCATAAAGTTCAATAATAAATATTTGACGAAAATTGTAGCAGGTATAATATCAAATAATTAAATAATTTAATGAGTTTAAAAAAGTGAACAACAGCTAAAAAATGGGACTTACCCATTTACATTTAGAAACGTATTAGATGATAATGAGGTATAATAAGGGGGAGAGGACTCGAGAAATTTTCGCGTGGTTAATCTGACACTGTTCATCAAAATAATTAGACCAAAAAAACAATTGCCGTAATAAAAGGGAATGCCTAAATCAGGGACTATACCAAAATGGGTATAAATCGCCAAATAGGATTCAACGCCGTCAAAGTGGATAAGGTGGATAATGGAATAACAAGTACCCAATAATGTCTCAAATTGCCGTTTGCAATTTATCTTAAAGGGCGGAAAACATACCCAACATAAAACATAAAGTACATAATAATAAAAATCTTGCCACTCAAATCTATTTGAAACTAACTACTTCTACTATTGCTACGGCATTTGGAAAATGCTCACTCACCATGGTTTTGCCGTCCTCCTATCTTTCGGTCATTCCTCCTTGGGGCCATTCAACTACTCAAAGTTACCAATGGGACAGCGGGTACCATGCTGGGTACCATTCCATTTAATCGTTAAGACACTACCGCACTCTATATTACCAACCATGAAGTCATCCTTAACGGTCATACGATCAAATCCAAAAATTCACCTAAGAAAAAAATAAATGAAAATAGATAAAATACTTCTTCTTTATTTCGTCCTTCTTGCCAACAAGACAATTTTTTGTTTTAAATGGAAACTAAACAAAAAGTTGATTCTCAATTGTCACTGAATTAAAAATATATTGCAGAGGTGTTTTTAAACAAAAGAAAGTAGAACAATTGTATTAGTTTTTTATTAGTTTATTTTTAAGTAATTCATAAAGAACAATGAATTAAATTCAAATTCAGTAAAATATTTTATTAATTTAATTATTTTTTTGCTTCATTTCCGAAGTTAGAAATATGCATCTGTTTAAAAGCTTAAGCTTTGGGCCTTATTCCGGATCTGCCTGTAATATATTATCTAACGTACAGCAGCGTCTTTTTTTATTGCAACCACACAAGAAGGATGGGCATCGTTTGTAAACGACTTGGATTCTCATTCAGTTCTAAAATCATGTTCGTGGTGTTAAGATCACGGGGAAGGCCTCTAGAGGCCTCTCCTGGTCTTGTCTCGGTGCTTTTGACTTTGTCTTTGACGGCGGGGGTGGCGAACGCGCGGAGCGATGAGCTTACGCCGCCCTATTTCAACTTGGCCGAAAATCGGACGATACGAGCTTCCGCCACATGCGGCGAAGACACGGAGGGACCCGAGCTTTATTGTAAACTTATCGGTGCAAATGCAGAAAACGACGTGAATGTTAATCTCATTCATGGACAGGTCAGTTCTCAACCCCTCATAGTTGTTTCTTGAAGCGCAAAACAAACGACCCTCAACAGTTTCATTTGTTATCGAATTGTTTCAAACAAATGCAGGCGTTCACGATAATCAGATTTTTGTTTCACTTGTTAAATGTAGAATTGTTTTAAACAATTGAAGATACAATTGTTAAAAACGAGAGTGTTTTATTCAAAAGAAGATGACACCATTTATTATATTATATTCGTATCATGAAAACTATTAGTGTTGATTTCATGTAATACGTTTACGATTTTAAGAAAGGCGTTTCAGCGAAGCTTTTAGTTTACTTTACCAGTAATGATAAGATTTCTATTTTAATATAGGAAGTGATAGACAGCCAATCGCCTTCCCTAAACATTTGTATAGTTCTATAAAAGTTTTGTTATCGAATATGCACGAATGCCTATCATAAACCATTATTATTCATTCTCTTTTCTGGTTTAAATACGTTTAAACTAATTTTAAACTTACATAAAATCGAATTCTATAAAACGATTTAAAATTTTGTAGGTATCTATTCATAATTTATCTACAAATATTTTCATTTTGTCGAAAAATTTTCCGAAGAAAGGTGTAAGTGAAAAACGTCTCACACTTGTAACTACAGTTCAGAAAATTCCTTCACCATGATTATGCTGTTTTACGAGAAAATTGCAGAACAACAGAACCAATTCTTGCTTTACAGGCAGATATTTTTAGGAATTATGTTTTCCTTAAACCTAGCCATCGTTCAGGCTGAAATAATTGCGTTTCCGCGGTCATAAACAGTAGTTTGGGCATTTTTAACGATTGCAAGCACAATAGGATAACAAGTAATTTACAGCACAGTGTTTTCTGAAGAAACGCGGTTCTTCATAATTTTTTAAAAATCAATTTGTTGCCCCTACAGCAAAAAATCTATTGATGACATTTAACTTTCAAATGTTTTTTTATTTTGAAATAAAAAACAATTGATTAATACAAGCTCTAAAACAAAATTTGTAACTTTCTTTTGTTTTCTTAATTTTTGTGTTCGTGTATTTACAATGTGTAATAAAATCATTCATAAAAAACGCCATGTAGTAACATCGCTTATGATGTAATAACAGAATAACGAAGTAGAACTTCATCTTATAAATAAAGAGGTCATCTTTTGTTTATAAATTCTCCCTATAATTAGAATCAATTTCACTTATGTACAATTAAATTTATAAAAAGAAAAGTGAAATAATAAAAGGACTGGATGAATACCTAAATAAGTCAAATCCAAAAATTAGGTTTAATATTTAATCTTGGAATTCGAAAAAAAATAAAATTAACAATTTCTTTCTTCTTCGGATTTTCATTTTTATACACAACAAAACTGTTCTAGTTTAATTATTATATTGATAGATGTATTTTTGTGACACTGTGTTTGTTATCGTGCCTATTACAAAATTTATTTTAAATTTAACGAATCTGGTAGCAAAGGTCAACCTCATGATCTTCATTAGTTATTTGGGACCATCTCCTTCATTTATATCTGCTTGTGGGTCATTAGCCAGAATATGAGGACAAAGATAATCATTCAAATCATTCCAATTTCGTTCACGATAATTTTCATATACTCATGAAACATTACTAATCCTTTTTTCAGAAATAAATAATTAACAAAATAAATACATCCGTTCTATAGATATCTAATTGAAGCATGTATTTTTTTTATACTTGGTGTAATTCGTAAATAATTGTCGCTCCAACCCCGATTTTTTAAAGGAAACATTGATGGTTTTTTGTTTGCTTTCGAATTAATTTCTATTGCATAGATCGCATGAAACTGGACTGTTTTCTAAACAAATCTTTATTTGAAACTTTTATCGGAGATTAAGGTAGCAAGAAGCTGACAAACGAAAATTACCTTTTCCAAATGAATACCCTTTTGGTTCCTAGTTTTTCTTATCAAAATTTCCCGGCGAAAATAAAATTCAATTCAATCAAAAAAAAAACCGTTCTGCTTTACAGTTTTGCGATTACTGTGACCCCTCTCGGCCTGACAAAAGACACCCTCCCGAGTATGCCGTGGATGGAATGGAAACATGGTGGCAAAGCCCGCCGTTATCCAGAGGGATGAAATATAATGAAGTTAATCTAACAATTGATTTTGGGCAGGTAAGTTTAAAAACAAATCTTATCTCTGGAATAACAAAACCCTATGTACAGACAACAGGATGTCGTACAATGTGGTTGGCATTTTTTGTTCAAAAAAAGTGTACCTAGATACCTAAATTGTTCTGAATTAACGTAAAAATAAAAGCGTTTTCGAAGAACGTTTTCTTTTCGCGAAAGCCTCCATGCCAAGAGCTTAACTGCTGCCCGAGGCTAATGGTACAGACAGCTGAAGGTCAAAACTAGCCGAACCTGGAACCTGTCATTCATTTTCGGTTTTTCATTCACAGAATGCCCTAACGAAGGGCCGGATTGAGTGGCATTTTATTCCGTTATCTCATCTTCATCAAAAACGTATATTATCGTAATTTCTATGGGTAAACGTTTTATAATATTCAAATAATAGATAAATATTTAAAGAAAACAAAAAACAAAAAAACCGAAAAATTCTTTCACCAATATTTAGAATGGACCTTCAGGATCGACATAGGCTACTGTAGACGAAAAATCGGTCGCACTACCTAAAACTATGTAAAATTTAACGAAGGGATCGTTTTTCTGAAGAAAGTTTGAGATGAAGGGTACAATTTTTACCGAAACGTTGTCAGGAACCATCTGTTTGTCATTGTATGTCAGTAAATGAATTACGACGTTCATGTCAGATCATAAAACGATTATCTTTCCAAGAAAAGAGCAAATTTGTGGTATTGGGTGGCCTAGGGGGGGAAGGGGAAGAAGAAGAGTCAAGTTGTTGTGATTATATACAGGGTGGTTCGTATTAGAAAATGGAACATACGGAAAAATGCAAATATATAGGCCATTAAACCTAACGATTGGAAGAAATAATTCTTTTTTTATTTCATCTTGGAATTAAATTCGAAAACATAATCGATGATGATGCTAGTATGTGCTAAGTAAAAAGTAAAACCGCCCGGACTTGTAAATAAATAAATAAACATCTGAACATTCTTTTCTTCATTATCATATAATATGAAGATAAAATTTTTATCTGGAAGTTTGCACTAATCTAAGTGCATAATAAGGAGCGTACATACAAGTGGTGTTATGATTGTCGGAATTTATCAAAAAGCGCTTACACATGCAGCAAACAGTTGACTGTTAAGCGCCAACAATGCACTCGAAGTATTACATTACATTGTCGTCTGTAATAAGATGTACAACAATTTGTCTGCACATTGAAATGTGCGGTCATCAATATTTTTAGAACTGCTGTATAAAACGCACGACCAACATTGAAAGTAATTATTTTTTTATTAGAAATAAAATTACTGTTCAAATAAAATTTCTCATTAAACTTATTCAGTTAAGTATGTTACAATTTTGCTTGTTAAACTTTGAACCTAATACATATGTGTTTTCGTTCGAAATAACCAAAATGTCTTCAAAAAGCTATGAACACTGACGCCTGGCGACCACATGTTTCATGGCAGAGCACACGTAACTATGTTGAAAAGAAATTAAAAAAAACAAAACTGCACCGAATACCAATAATGTTGATGTAGTAACAGAGGAACCCGTAAACAAATGGCTTCCGTTATTGCGGTTTTCTTTTGTCATTGCAAAAAAATGGAATTCAATAGTAATGATACGTAATAACAATTACGTAATTAAGAATGATTAATATTATACAGGGCGCCTTATAAATAAGGGAACGTATTGTATATTTTACGATAAGAATTATACGTTAAATGTATTTCGACCATCCGCATCCTTTGATAATTGATAAGGCCATCCAAATAAAGCTATGTACGTTAACGAAGGAAATCGCCTCCCACATAAGAGCATTATTCCATGATAACGATGTGTTAAATTGAAACAATTTACAATTGTTGAAATCGCATTCTAATTGTAATGCTCGTGGGGGTTTAAACGAATTAGGTACATATCTAATTAATATGAGATTTCCCGCCCATTAAAAAAACACAACCAATATTTTACTAACACATTTTGCATTGTTTAAATAAATTTTTATTTAATTAAATGGTTTATAAACGGAAAGCGTTTGACTGATTATTGATAAGAAGAACCTACAAGTCAGATATAGCTTCCGATATAACCGGATGTTGTTTTATTAAAGAATGTTTCTGTTAGTTTATTATTATTATATAAAAAAGAAAGTCGTTTAAGTTACACTATTTATAACTCAAGAATGGCTGAACCGATTTGGCTGAAAATTGGTGGGGAGGTAGCTTAGAACCAGGAGACGGACATAGCATACTTTTTATCCCGTTCCCGTGGCAAAAAAATAAGTGGTTTAAGAAAACGCAACTGACAGCAAAACGAAAAATTTATCAGTCAAAACATCAGTTTAGCCGTTCATTTGTTAAAAATGGTATAACAAAACACAACTGACATGCAATAACAAAAAGCAACTGACAGCTAAACGTAATGTCGTCTATTGTTAATTATGGTGTTTTATTTATAGTCAAATTTACCTATTTCAACGTTTTACAAAATTGGTGGCAATGTTTAAATGTTACATATTTATAATTTGTGGTCAGATTTACTTGAAACTTCTTCTCAGTAATCTCTCATCTAATTTCTGAAAGACCTATCTCGATATTTTAAAAAATTCAACCTCCAAAGGGGGAGGGGTAAAAAGGTGTTGTAATTTTTGTTTGGCACATATTTTATTTGTAATTGAATTTAGTTGAAACTTGGTATATATGCTGTTTGATATTATTAATCAATTGAAAAGAGGTTGCAACGTTTCCATGAGGTATATTTTATTTGTAGTAGGATTTACTCGAAGATTGCTCACTGTTGAAATTAAGCAAATACGTGTTTGGCCATTTTTAAAAATCAACCCTTAAGGATGAAATGTTGTTGCTACGTTTGTATTTGAAATCTAAGATGGCGACATTACATAAAATTAAAACGTTGTAAGGGTGAATTGGGCGTTAAAAGTTTTATGGAGAAACAATATTAATTTCTGCTAGCGAAGCATAAATATAAAAGTAACATCAAAATTTTCTAATATTTCTTTTTCAATTATTTAGGAATTTCACGTAGCCTACATTTTCATACGAATGGGCATTTCTCCTCGACCTGGTCTATGGATTTTGGAAAAATCCGCAGACTATGGCAAAACGTGGACGCCATGGCAATATTTTTCCGATTCGGAAAGCGACTGTGAAACATACTTTGGCAAAGAAACCTTACGTCCTATAACTTCCGACGATTCCGTTATTTGTACCACCGAGTATTCAAAAATTGTTCCACTGGAAGGGGGAGAAGTACTAGCACGTCAATCTTGATACTCTTCATGATACTAAAGACGTTTAATTGTAGATCCCCATATCAATTCTTAACAATAGGCCTTCTGCCAGAGATTATTTCAATTCTCCTGTTTTACAAGAATGGACGAGGGCCACGAACGTTAGATTTCGTTTCCTGCGAACCAAAAATCTTCTTGGACATCTCATGTTCGTGGCCAGGCAAGATCCGACAGTTACAAGAAGAGTAAATAATAAACCAATATTTTCTTACAATGTGCAATTGTCCACTGTTTCCCTGTTCTAGTATTTTTACTCCATAAAAGATATAAGTATTGGGGGTCGTTGTATGTGCAATGGTCATGCCGATGTTTGCGAAGTCACGGATCCCAACGACCCCAACATCCTCCTCTGTCGATGCCAACACAACACCTGCGGTCCCAAATGCGAAAGGTGTTGTCCCGGGTTCGAACAAAAAGCTTGGCAAATATCGAAAAACTACGCGCCATTTTCTTGCGAACGTGAGTTTCTCCTAACATTTCACCGTTAGAGGAACAATTAATCATTCCTAATTCCCTATTTTAGCTTGTAACTGTTTCCAACACAGCAACGAGTGCGTGTACGACCCTGAAGTGGACAGAAAACGTCTGTCCCTCGATATTTATGGCAAATACGAGGGCGGTGGTGTTTGTCAGAATTGTCAGCACAATACAATGGGAATTAATTGTAACCAATGCCAACCAACTTTCTACAGACCTTACAATAAACATTGGAACGAAACTGACGTTTGTCAACGTATGTTAATCGTTTATTTATTAATTGCAATAGATATTTAGTCTTATTTATCCTTTATCCGAAGGATTGCCAGCAATCCAAATCATACCATCCATATCCTTCTTGAATATTTTATACTAGGACCTCCATGAAAATTATTTGCCAGCAATCCAAATACTCCCTTATCTTCCCATGGACTTCCCTAGAAGTTTCTTTTTGTTGATTCAAATACTGCCATACCCTTTCAATGTATTTCCTTCCATAAAAGTTATTTGCCATCAATCCAAATACTCTCTTAACTTCCTATGGATTTCCCTAGAAGTTTCTTTCTATTGATTCAAATGCTGCCATATCTTTTCAATGTATTTCCTTCCATGAACTTCCATAAAAGTTGGCTGCCATCAATTCTAATACTCCTTCATCTTCCCATGGGCTCCTTAAAGGTTTTTTTGCTGATTCAACTGCTGCCATATCATTTCGATGTATTTCCTTCCATAAAAGTTATTGCCATCAATCCAAATACTCCCTTATCTTCCTATGGATTTCCCTAGCACTTTCTATCTGTTGATTCAAATGCTACCATTTTTTTTCAATGTATTTCCTTCCTAGAACTTCCATAAAAGTGGGTTATCATCAATCCAAATACTTCCTTTATCTTCCTATGGACTTCTCTAGCAGTTTCTTTCTGTTGATTCAAATACTACCATATCTTTTCAGTGTATTTCCTTCCATGAACGTCCATAAAAATTGGTTGCCAACAATTCAAATACTCCCTTATCTTCCCATGGTCGCCTAGAAGTCCTTTTCTGTTGATTCAAATTATGTCATAGTCATTCTATGTATTTCCATCAACCCATTTCTTTCGTTATCCTCCCAAACCGTTCTTCCATAAATATGATTTTCTACTGATCCACACACTGCGTTATCCTCTCTAAATATCTCCTCCCTCAAACATTCATAAGAGTGATTCCCCATGAATCCAAACCCTTTTGAATTTCTCCTAGGCATCATAATCTCAGGAACACTATCAAAATACTACCACAACAAAACCTTTGCAAACTCCCTTAAAATCTATTTGCTTTTAGCATGCAACTGTAATTACTTTTACTCCACCGGAAACTGTGAAGAAGGTACTGCCCGTTGCGAATGCAAGCCAGAGTACCAGGCTCCCAATTGTGACCGCTGTAGTTATGGCTATTACGGCTATCCGGACTGTATCCCGTGTGGCTGTTTCCTGAATGGTACCGAGAGTCTTCAGTGTGAACCTGTCCAGGGCCACTGCTCTTGCAAATACAATTTCGGTGGTAAATATTGCAAGGAATGTGCCGACAGCTATTTCAACTTTCCGACATGTGAACGTAAGTTGTTAAATTAAACAACAATTTTTACGTTCTGAGCGCGTTGGTTGTTTTAGCCTGTGGATGTAATGCTCTTGGTTCCATTTCTGACACTTGTGACCAAAACACAGGAAACTGCACATGCAAAAGTAACTATGGAGGCCTTAAATGCGACCAGTGCGAAAATGGGTACTTCAGTTACCCTTCGTGTACATGTAAGTTTACAAGAAAAAATTTAAAAAAATTGGAGTCTCTCATTTTCTAACGTTTTTGTTTGCTTCCAGATTGTAATTGTGACATTAAGGGAACCGAAGCGGAAATTTGTGACAAAAATACTGGAAAATGCCTGTGTAAGGAAGGGTATGGAGGCGAACGATGCGATCAGTGCATACCAGGATATTTCGGTTATCCAGAATGCAAACCTTGCAACTGTAGCGTAATAGGGTCGGCCTCTTCTGTGTGTGACGTGTCAGGAACATGTCCTTGTTTACCTAACTTTGGTGGTCGAACTTGTGAACAATGTCGAGTTGGATACTACTCATACCCTGAATGTTTAGGTAAATACTTTAAACATATCATGAATATTTATGTAGGAATTGTCCAAATTTGCACTTCATTTCAGCTTGCAACTGTGACGGTCATGGATCCATCGGTGTTTCCTGCGACAACGAAGGAAGATGCCAATGTCACAACAACTTTGACGGTATCCGTTGTGAGCAATGTCGTGAAGGATTCTACAATTTCCCAGCTTGCGAAGGTAACAATCTTTTCTTCTCCATTGCTATACCTGACATTTAAAAACTATATCAATAACTTCCCTGTTCCAAAGTTTCCTTCCATTAATTTCCTTGTACCATAACAGATATTTGGTCGTTTTAGAATGCAACTGTAATCCTGCGGGAGTGGTAGCGGCATTTGCAGGATGTGGTTCGGTTCCAGCAGGAGAACTGTGCCAGTGCAAGGAAAGAGTAGAAGGACGCATTTGCGACAAATGTAAACCACTGTACTGGAACCTCAACCTGAACAACCCCGAAGGTTGTAGCGAATGTAACTGCCACATCCCCGGCGTGCTAGGGGGTTTTGCAGCCTGCGACAACTTGGACGGGCAATGTGTGTGCAAACCATCTGTTATTTCGAGATCATGTTCCGAATGTGTTGCCGGTACTTATGATCTCCAAGAGGAGAACTTATTCGGATGCAAAGGTTTGTTGATTGAGTCACTAGTGACGGTGAAAAGAGTGAAAGAATAAAACAATTGGTCGTTTCAGATTGTGGTTGCGACATAGGGGGATCGATAAATACAGTGTGTGATAAGGCAACAGGACAATGTACATGTCAGGCACGTGTAACAGGACGCACTTGTAAAGAACCGATCCAAGCTCATTACTTCCCGACTCTGTACCAATTCCAATACGAGGTCGAAGATGGACATACACCTGCCAACACTGCAGTGCGATATGGTTATGACGAAAGCGTTTTTCCTGGATACTCCTGGAAAGGATACGCTGTTTTCTCACAATTACAAGTAACTATATAACAATTATTTATTATTATTATTCTAGTTACTGTGATTTATTTCCTTCCAGAATCAAATCCTGTACGACGTTCTTATTTCTAAACCATCTCTCTATTTGATCATCTTGCACTACGTGAATCCAAATCCTGAAACAGTTACTGGAACAATAAGGGTTATTCCCGACAATCCCCACAGTTTAGAACAAACGCTCCAGGTTCACTTTAAGAGCTCTTCCGAACCCGCCTTCGTCACCGCTTCCGGCGCTACAGCACTGGTCATGGAGCCAGGACAATGGACAGTCAGCATTGAAAACAAAAAGAATCTCTTCTTGGTAATTAATTTTTCAAGCTCCGACCTCTTCAATAATTTCTTCTTATCTCACAGGATTATTTCGTTTTATTGCCTGAAGAGTACTCTTCAGCGTCGATATTGACCCAAAAGGTTGTAGAACCTTGCACGATCGACGACAAAACGCTTTGCAGAGATTACAGCTATCCTAACGTGTCGAAATTCGACGTGACTTTGGGAAATGGTGGTATGGTCTTGCGAGGTGATAAAGTCGATCCCTTGAAAGATTTCTACGGCGATCATGAAGTAAACTTATTGCAAACAAAAATACTCTTCTATAGGCTGTTATTTGTATCTCTTCTTATAGCATCTTATCGAACTGAAGGTGTTAAATCGTATTCCATTGCTGAACAAAAACCAGTCGGAGATTGCGTACAACATTACCATTGGAAAGCCAGGACCTTATGTTTTAGTAATAAACTACTTCACCCCCAAAGGAGACCATCGCACCCAAACTGTTAATGTCGAATCCAGAGCTCAAAATGGAGTAACTAGAGGGAGGGCTCTTCTGTACTCATGCCCCTACACCATGGTATGCCGACAGATTGTCACTGACAAGAAAAACACTCTCGCCATTCAAAACGTTGACGGAAATGTCATCAATGTCATACTTCAAGTAAGAATAATGTTTTAATTAGCATTAGGTACACTTGAAAACCCTTTAAAATGTATTTGTTTGTTTTAAGGGAGCAGACGATGCAAATATTGGTGTGCAATCGATAGTAGCAATCCCATACGACGAATGGTCGTTGGATTATATTAAGCCAAGACCAGTGTGCATTCTCAAAGATGGAAACTGCATTTCCTCTAGATATCCGACTCCACCCGAATCAAAGAAAGTCCAGTTCGAACTCGACGCTGACGTCGAAGGAAACGTTACTCGACCAGTTCATAAAATTTCAAACGATTCTTCGTACATTTACTTGGAACCATCCGATAACATGATTGATCTGCATGCAAAAGTTCCTGTGCCTGGTTATTACTCGTTCGTTGTCCAATATTACCAACCGGATAATCCAGGTATGCAGTCAACAACGTAATTTGGAAAGTTCTAATTTTGTTGCTCTTTGTAGAGTTCAATTTGAATGTCATTGTCCAAAATGGACAGTTTTACGAGGCGAAGCTTGCGGTTGAGCACTGTCCATCCAAATCTGGGTGCAGGGCAGTCGTTAAACAAGCCGATGGCAATCCTTTCTTTTCATTAACAGAAAACTTTATGATTACGTTGAAGGTTCGAAAACAACTTATTTTTTGCCATTAAGTACATACTTGATTCTTAATTGCAGGCACCAAATCACAAAGGCGTTTACTTAGACTATTTACTAATCGTTCCTGCTGACTTGTACAGTGAAAATGTTCTGGAAGAAGAGGACCTGGATCGTACAGCAGAATTCATATCAACATGTGCCAGTAATCACTTCTACATTAACACATCTGACGAAGGTAACAAGGCATCAAGGTAACATTGATACCTTTTACTCTTTTTATTGTTTGTTTTTGAAGGTTTCTGCAAGGATTCTGTGTTCTCCATAACTGCTGGATACAATAACGGGGCGCTCCAGTGTTACTGTGACCACATAGGGTCTCTGAGTTTCCAGTGTAACAAATTCGGTGGCCAGTGCGAATGTAAACCAAATGTAATTGGAAGACAGTGCGAGGCTTGTAAAACCGGCTTTTACGACTTCCCGGACTGTAAGCCGTGCAACTGTCCTCTAACTGCCCTATGCGAAGCCTCCACAGGTACAGGCGCACAACCAGAAAACGAACATTCTTGTAACCCCTCAATATTCTATTTATTTTCAAGGACGGTGCATTTGCCCACCTCACGTAACAGGAGAACGTTGCGACCAATGCATGCCCTTCACTTATGGCTTTGATCCCATCATCGGTTGCGAGGAATGCAAATGTAACCCACTGGGTGTCGAACACAATTATTTACAATGTGATCTCTTCAATGGAAGCTGCACTTGCAAGAACAATGTCGTTGGTCGGACTTGTAGCGTTTGCCAGGCTGGTTACTTTGCATTCCCGTATTGTGAGAGATGCGACTGCAACTATGCCGGAACACTTCCAGACATCTGCGACCAGGTTTCCGCAGAATGTTTGTGCAAAAAGAATGCCGTTGGTCCAGATTGCAGTTTGTGTCGCGAAGGCTCGTACAATCTCCAGGCGGACAACGAGGACGGATGTACCGATTGTTTCTGTTTCGGCAAGACGTCCCGGTGCACCAGCAGCAACTACGTTCAATCCATGATAATCGATATGCAAGATTGGGGTCTTGTCGAAATCAACGAAACGGAAACATCGTCGTTTGATGTGACTCTTCTGAATTCAACCGTTTATCAGGGAAACGCACCCACCGATATCGGAGTTGATCTCTCCCAAGATGACATGAAAGATAAGCGAGTGTATTTTTCGGCCCCATCTGCTTATTTAGGGAAAAAGTTGACTTTGTATGGTAGCAGGCTTAATTACAGTATCTTCTACACCATAGGATCCTCAGGTCAATTTATAGTTAGCTATATGTACAGAATCATTGAATTTTCAATTTTATTTGAACAGGTAAAGCAGTGAGTGGTGCTGATGTTATTCTGGCTGGGGCTGGAACGCATCTGGCCTACATGAGCGTAGAGCAGCCTGCAGTGGCTACCGATTACAGTGAAAGTTTGGGAATTGTCGAGAGCAACTTCGAACTACCTTCTGGCATTGCTGCTAAAAGGGAACACATCATGACTGTACTTAACAACCTTACTGGCCTTTACATACGAGCTACCTACTGGAGTAATACGGTCACAGCCAGGTTTTTATCAACAAATTTTGGAAACCAGTAAATGTTTATATCTAATTTATTAATTAATCGCAGGTTGTCGAACGTTCTTCTGGTCAATGGAGTGCCTTACAATTATACAGCAATGCACGGCAAAATTGTTCAACCTGCCTCTTCCGTAGAACAGTGCCAATGTCCTCCAGGTTATCAAGGACTGTCTTGTGAAGACTGCGCACCAGGCTATTACAGAATAAGCACCGGTCCCCATGGAGGTTACTGCGTCCCTTGTCAATGCAACGGTCACGCTGACGAATGTGATGTCCACACTGGATTGTGCTTTGTAAGTCAGTTGTATCTTACATGTATAATTCTTATACTATAATCAGAATGTTTACCGTTTAGAACTGCAAGCACAACACTCGAGGTGATCACTGTGAGCAGTGTGACGTTGGATATCACGGAAATGCGTTACAAGGAACTCCAATGGATTGTTTGATATGCGCATGTCCTTTGCCTGTGGCCTCCAACAAGTAGGTTTCTAGAGGATGTTTGTATATAAGATAATTACATTTTCCTTATTTTGCAGCTTTGCAACAGCCTGCGATCTCAGTTCAGACGGGGAAAAGATAAGTTGTGACTGTGTCGAAGGTTACTTTGGAGCACGTTGTCAGTCTTGTGCCCCTGGGTATTACGGAAAGCCTGAAGTTGTTGGTGAGTACATAATAATCCAAACCTATGACATTGTTAGTTACTTAACAGTGGATTAATATGCAAAATTAATTTGAAATAATTTTTTCGATTTTTTATTTACCCACGACAGACTACCTCAAATTAATGAGGGAAAAATTGTTGCTGTTGTCACACCCCCGCCGGGAATCGAACCCGGGGACCTTTGGCTTTACGCACCAATGTTCTGACCACTAAACTACGAGGTGACAACAGCAACCACGACAAACCGACCTACAAGGTTAACGATCCGTCGATTTTTATTAACTTATTTATATATATACTAAATATATGAAATCCTATGACATTGTTAGTTACTTAATAGTATATATATAATTAAGTTAATACAAAACGACGGATCGTAGGTCGGTTTGTCGTGGTTGCTGTTGTTACCTCTCGTAGTTTAGTAGTCAGAACATTGGTGAGTAAAGCCAAAGGTCCCGGGTTCGATTCCCGGCGGGGGTGTGACAACAGCAACAATTTTTCCGTCATTAATTTGAGGTAGTTTGTAGTGGGTAAATAAAAAATCGAAAAAATGATTTCAAATTAATAATCCAAACCATACTGTAACTCCTGCTTTTATACATGTTGCTCTTTACAGGTGACTTTTGTAAACCCTGCGATTGCTCCGGTAATATCGACCCTACGGACCCTTACTCATGTAACACCGTGACTGGCGAATGCCTACACTGTCTCAACAATACTTTCGGTAACTCTTGCGCCCTTTGTGCTCCTGACTACTATGGAGATGCCATTACCGCGAAGAATTGCCAACGTAAGTAAATACAAACGGTATGGACCATTTTATCTTTTTTTATATAATGATAAATACTTGTTTACAGCATGCGATTGTGATAATTACGGTAGAGAACGTTGTGATAGCCACACAGGTCAGTGTATTTGCAAGCCGAACGTCGAGGGAGAAAAATGTGATCGTTGCGTGGCAGAACATTATGGGTTCCAGTCAGGACAGGGATGTATTCCGTGCAATTGTAGTCCTGCCTCCCTGAGTGCTCAATGTCATGATCAAACTGGGCAATGTCAGTGCAAACCTGGAGTCACCGGAAGAAATTGTGATAGATGTACTGCTGGATACTGGAATTTCACTTCTGATGGATGCATATGTAAAAATCTTTCTTATGACTAAAACCCTTTTAATGTTAATTTCCTTGATGTTTCCAGCCTGTGGATGTAAAAGTGAATATTCCCTTGGATTCGGATGTAATGCGGAAACGGGTCAGTGCGAATGCCTTCCTGGAGTGACTGGAGAAAAATGCGACCACTGTCCCCACAGATGGGCATTTGTCGACGGTGTGGGTTGTCACAGTTGCGACAGTTGCACTCATGACCTTTTGGACGACACAGACGCCCTTGCGGCTCTAATTGATCCCATTATTATTGAATTTAATGTAAATAAATATCCGTATAATATTCTCCTTTTGTCACTTGATTATTTGTTGAATCCTCACAGGCTGTTGATTCCGGTTACTTTACAACGAGAAGATTGACCCATCTGAACGACACCTTAAACGAACTTAAACCCAAAGTTGGGAAGTTACAGCCGAACCAAATAAATTTGAGCCCCGTTTTAGGAGATCTTGATAAACTCGAGACGGACGTTAACTCGTTCAACAGAAAGGTAGTTCCTATACTATACATCTTGGTAAAGTTGGCCAATATGAATCTTTTTATTGCAGGTTTTATACGCAATGGAAAACAGTGCAGTACTAGCAGATAACGCTCATAATATCAGCTTGGAAACCGATAAAGTTTTTGACGAAATATCTGATGCAGTTGTGGACGCGAAATATGCAGTGAATTACATAGAAAGTTTATCAGATTCTTTGATATCTGGTGAAGGTACGAGACTTTAGCTTTATTTCGTAAAATGTAGTAAATGTTCCAATTTTTTTTTTTAGATAAAAAGGTAGATGCAGCTTTAGAAGAGGCGTCTAAACTTTTAGATGAAATAAACATATTTAATTTAAGCGGCAGGGCAAATGAAGCCGACAAGCAATACCTCAAAGCCGATAATCTTTTAGAAAAATTGAGAAATTTAAAAAAACCCGTCGATAACATCGACGACAAAGCCAAAATGTTCAAAACTAATCTGACTACCATTAATAATAAACTGGACGATCTCGCCAATCACACCCAATTCACATTCAATACGGTTTTGGAAGTTGAAAAGTTGCTGTCCAAAAATAGGTAAGTTCATATAACGGATCCCATTTGAATTTTTGTTTTTTTAATTCAACAAGTTCTTCCCCCCTATCAGTCACTGTGAGCTCGAAACTGTTAGCACCATTGCTTCGAGTGGTCGAAATTCACTTTTGCGAACAATTTGTTTAATCACTTTAAAGTTTAAAGTAATTGTTTATAAGTAGGTATGCAACACATTGTACACTTCCGCATAAGAAATTGCTGATACTAACTACGTAATACTACTTTGCACTGTGCTGACAGCACTCATAATTTCTTTAATATACTAGAGATACTGTGTTTTGACGTCGAAGTTCACTTTCTTTGTGTTAAGAATCGTTTGAAAAATTAAATTTAAAGGAATTGTTTTTAAGTAGGTATGCAACACATCGTACACTTCCGCATAAGAAATTGCTGATACTAACGCACGTAATACTACTTTGCACTGTCCTGATAGCACTCATAATTGCTTTAATATACTAGAGATACTGTGTTTTGACGTCGAAATTCACTTTCTTTCTGTTAAGAATCGTTTGAAAAATTAAATTTAAAGGAATTGTTTGTAAGTAGGTATGCAACACATCGTACACTTCAGCATAAGAAATTGCTGATACTAACGCACGTAATACTACTTTGCACTGTCCTGATAGCACCCATAATTGCTTTAATATACTAGAGATACTGTGTTTTGACGTCGAAATTCACTTTCTTTCTGTTAAGAATCGTTTGAAAAATTAAATTTAAAGGAATTGTTTGTAAGTAGGTATGCAACACATCGTACACTTCAGCATAAGAAATTGCTGATACTAACGCACGTAATACTACTTTGCACTGTCCTGATAGCACCCATAATTGCTTTAATATACTAGAGATACTGTGTTTTGACGTCGAAATTCACTTTCTTTCTGTTAAGAATCGTTTGAAAAATTAAATTTAAAGGAATTGTTTGTAAGTAGGTATGCAACACATCGTACACTTCAGCATAAGAAATTGCTGATACTAACGCACGTAATACTACTTTGCACTGTCCTGATAGCACTCATAATTGCTTTAATATACTAGAGATACTGTGTTTTGACGTCGAAATTTACTTTCTTTCTGTTAAGAATCGTTTGAAAAATTAAATTTAAAGGAATTGTTTGTAAGTAGGTATGCAACACATCGTACACTTCAGCATAAGAAATTGCTGATACCAACTACGTAATACAATAATAGTACTTTGCACTGTGCTGACAGCACTCACAATTTCTTTAATATACTAGAGATACTGTGTTTTGACAAACACAAGTTTTTATTTAAAATTTCGACATCAACCATCGTAACATACTCTACCTTACATTTTTAAAAATAATAACTTTTCGGACTTAACAAAAACGAGTAGTAAGGGAAGAAAATTTTTCAGGTGCATCCTTAAAGTAAGCTAAAAATTCCTTTCGGTAAAAAAATTTATTAGATAAATTAAAAAGAGTACCATATAGTATAACAACCATGTCTTTAAAAACACGTTATCGCTCGAAACACTGTCCATTGTTCACTTCTTTTAGAGTACGAAACATAATACATCTCGCTTATCGTATACGTACCTATATATATATATACATATATAAATATAAATATAAAAGGTATGAAACATATTAATCTTGAAAAAGAACTAAACATTTAATTTATTTATCACTTATGTATTGGTATAGATTTTCGACTTATCATGAAAGCGTTCAATTATGCAGCAAAACTTACACTCTATGAACATAAATATTAATCATAAATGAAACCTATCTAGGTACCCAAAGAAAAAGAACTAAACGAAATCTTAGCGAATTAAACTAATTGTAAATTTACACAAGTCTTTACAACGCTCAACAGTTTCAACGGTATTCGGATACATTATAAAAATCGAAATTGGAAAATACTTCGTTTGTGTCTTTATAAACATCTATTTTATATTTTAACGATTTTGATTCACTCATCATCTTCGGTACATAAAAACAGCGATAAATTTATTTTATAAATATGCGTTGCAATATTTATCAGTCGCAGCGGTAAGTAAAGTTTGCTATTAATTTATCATAGCATTAGCAATGTTACACTAATTCAACGTTTTCTACGATTTTATACCACGACTTTTCAATTCTTCCTTAATTTTCCATATTACCAATTCCATACATGTGAGAGCGTCTTCAGCACTGTCGTGGCCGCTCATGTCGTTTTGAATTATTTTTTGCAAATATTCACTAGCCAGTACCCGAAGGGCCCGTTTATGTGGTAACCCCAATTTGTGGGGAAATAAAACGGACGTGTCCACTATCGTGTTGTGTATAATTTTGAGAGCGCGCATGTCCGACTCTAAACTATGCCCTATCAAAATAGTTTTCGAATTGCACAAGTGTAATATGTTAGCTTGAACTTGTAATATGGTAGTGGCGGTACGATCCATTTGGTCTTTCGTGATACCGGAAAATCTGGTGTTGTAATCGATTATGGGGTTCATCGGTTTTACCAGCGTTTCGTAAACAGTTTGGCATTCGGGATTCACGATCGTAACCCTGGTTAGTTCTAATCCCTTGGTGGTGTAGCACATTTCGCAATCCAAAGCGTAAATCGCGTGACTTCGGGGGTCATCATCGTCCTCGGGGGGGAAAGTCGTTTGGTACCCTTCGAGATCATACTCGCCCGGCACTGGAGTGTCGCACACGTGACAAGGGGCCGTAGCACAACCCAATTCGTCCGTACTTTTACAACATAAATAAATACTCTCGCCCCGTAACGTTCGTTTTTTTAGAGGGTGGTAGACGCACTCTTCCTCGTAAACTGCGAACCCCTCTCTGTCGACCCGGTAGATTTTCCAACAACGGCAACACTGTCGCTCGTTGTACTCCAAGTGGGTGCCACGAATTTGTTTATTTGGTACTATCACTGCCACTCCTGGAACAGGTCCTTCGCGGGGAAAGGCGTGTTGATTCAGTTCCTCTTCAGATAAGATGAATCGCTCGATATTTTTGTACAATTTACGTCCCTTAAGTTCTGTATTAATATCACGAGTATTAAAAGATTCTTCTCCGGGACCGAGCGGTCCTTGTCCCGATTTTTCCATATCCTGCACCTCCTTACGTAAACGGTTTACGGCCAGCATGGTGGAGTTCCGATATGTGGCTAAAACAGAGCATCTTTCATAACACTTAAATTCTTCCCTTAAGGCGCGCTGATAAGCGTCATTTTTTGTCAGGTATAATTTAACACATTCATCAGCTATCATTGTGAGGTACCGAGTCCTAACGTTTACCGGAAGTTTTGATCTTTCTGCTTCCATGACGTCAGGAATATCGGTTAAGGAATATTCGGGCACGTGGGCAACTCTTTTGCCGCCCTTCCCGAACGTTTGTGAAGGAGTTTTTAATAGTGTGGCCGCTCGCTGTTTCGCTATCTCCTCTAATTTTGCCTTGGCCCTTTGTATGGAATTCACGTTCATAGCCGGTGCTATTCGTTTCTGTTTGTTTGTTGTGGACGTGGCTGCTTTTCCTGCAAGAATGTCGTCTATCAGCGACGAAGATGTGGAAGGAAGTGTTCTTGTCTTCTGTAAATTATTGGAACTGTTTTTGGACGCATCCGAATTTATTTTTGGCTGCTTTGAACTGCCGTTCGATACTTTATCAGGTGGCCTTTTTATTCCGTGATTTTTTATACTTTTAGTATTTTCATCTTGTTTGCCATAAGCACTGTGTTTCACTGCTTCTTGCCTACTAATTTCAGCCATTAAATTTTTGTGTTCGTTCGCTGCTTGAGCCAATCTTGCCATTTTCAAACGATTGGCCATCATAAGTGCTGGATTAGGACCTGTTTTTGGCTTGTTAACAATTCTTGGGGTAATGCTCTCTGCTTTATCATGAGCAATTCGTTTTTTTGAAGTAGGTATATATTCAAGTTCGTCGTCTTTTTCAATAGTTTGAAGTTTTGTTATCTTGGGCTCAATTTCCGGCTCTGTAGGCTTATATTCATTAAATATTTTATAACATTCCTTCATTACATCGTCATCTTCTTCAATATCTAACAAATCATCACCTGAATCGAAATTATTGTGACTGTCATCATAAATTTCACTTGATCCATCATCAAAAAGACTTTCACTACAAGCTTTTGTTTCAGCTTTTGTATCCTTGATTTTTACATCCTGTTCCTTTTTATTTTCTTTCTTTTTTATTTCATCTTCCACATTTTCCTTTTTATCTTGCTTGGAATCTTTGGTTTTACTTTTATGTCTGTGTTTGTCCTTTGCTTTTGCATTAGTACTGTGCTTATTAGATCTTTCTTTGCTCGAGGATGAACTACTGCTTTTTTTCTTACTCTTATCATCGCCTCTCTTTTTATCACCTTTTTCAGATACGTATTTCCTATTATTTTCATCTGTCTTTCTATCTGATGACTTTTTATTACTTTTATGACTAGACTTTTTGTCATGTTTGTCACTTGACTTCTTGTCAATGTAATCACTTTTTTCAGATGAATGTTTGTCGTCATCTTTCTTTTTATCACCTTTATGTTCAGATTTTGTATTTTTACCTTTCTTACTAGAAGAAGAATCAACCTTATTCAATTTCTCCTTTTGAACTGTCTTTTTTTCAACTTTACCTGTTTCCTTGTCAACTAATTTACTATTTTCAGACTTATGCTCATCTTCTGATTCTGAAGTATTAATTATTTCATCAATTAAATCAAACTCTGTCGATAACTCTTCAAAATTAATGTTACATGATTCAGGATTATATTCACTGCTTTTATCATTGTTTAATTGCTGTTTCTGCTCAGAACTGTCCTTGTTTGTATCTGTTTGGTCAGAAGACGAGATAGTTAATTTTTGAGTTGAAGATAATATGCTTAAAGGTGTAGGTTTGTAAATTGGCTGAACCTGTTGAGATCTCTCCAAAATCGAATTAAATCTACTATTGCTGCGATCTGTCCTACTTATAATGTCAGGGACATAACTGATCGGAATATGACTTTTCGTATGTAATAACTGCGATTTTGGAGTTGGATTATATGTAGGAACTTCAGATACAGTCGAGGGTTCATCTTGACTTTTCTTCTTATGACTGAAGTGACAATATGGCCTACCACATGATGTTTCTAAATAAGGGCAAGTAATATCCTTAAAACGTCCTGTCGTGGGAAGCATTTCTTTTTAATTATTTCATTACAAAAAATACGAATTTTTGTCATTAGTACTAACTTCACCTTAACCTCACACTGACAAGCTGATTTCTGACGTTTGGCAATCGTAAACAAAGGTCACATGGTCTTAAAAATATAGAAATATGGAAGTGCTTACGATAACGAAACCGGACGACGATGTTGATAAGTTTCTATCTTTAGAACAAAACCTATAATTAAAATCTAACTTTGCAACTTAAAATAATTATATTTTACACTTAACAATTAAAAACGAGTGAATATCGACAGGACGTAGCAATTGTTTTCTTATGAGTGTACTTATCAGTTTACAAGTTTGTCATGTAACTCCGCAAAAAGCCACCAGGATCTTTTTAAATTCAAAAAGTCGTTTAAACAATTTAATATAAAACTACTCCATTAATTGAGGGTTTTGATTTAAGTGCAGATTAAATTTTTTGGTCTAATGCGTTAATAAACACTGTGCCATTTGCAAACTTTATTTTTATTTTTTTATTTATTTAAATTCTGCGCAGACGAAATAAAGATTCAGTCGAAAGAAAGTTGGACACTATTCATACCCAAACGAATGACGTTGAAAAAAATTTAAAGGATTCTGATGTTCTATTAAAAAATGCTTCAGAAGTTCTCGACAATTTTAAAGAGTTGATTGATGGATTCCCTGCAAATCCCAAAGAACTGGAGAAAAGCAATCTTGATTTTGACAATACTTTAGAAAACAATATAAATCAACTGGTCATCGTAAAAGACTTAGTTCCTGTTGTAAAAGATCATGCGCAAAATTTGACGTTGAGGGCCCAAGAGTTGGACAATTTGTTAACAGAGACTAGAGATTTATCGGAAAATGCCGTCAATGCTGCAAACGCGTACAAAAACATAGTAGAAGAGATAAAAAATGCCCGAGATGCCGCTGTTTCGGGCAAAAGCGCTGCAGAAAATGCTGCGGATATACTAAACAACATTAGCAACCAAACGATCGACGCGCGAAACATTTCGACGGTTCTTCTAGAAAAAGCCCAAAAATCCCACATGGAAACATCCCAAGACTTACCACCAGAACTGGAAGAAGCAAAAAGTCGATCGCGACCCATACGATCTCTTCACGAAGATAACGAGGAAAAGCTAGAAAACATCAGGAAAATCCTGAACAATCCCATCGTTCAGCCTTTGGAATTGAATATCTATCAAGCCGCAAAAACTGCAGAAGAGGCCGACACCATTGCCCAAACGACCCTCGACCAGGCCACCGAAACGTTCAAAAATATCGCGAACGAAAAAACCAAATCCGAACATCTGCCAAAAGACTTGGACGACACGAAACGCAACATCCTACAAGTGGAACAACAAATTTACACGGTGAACCAAAAACTTCCGAATATCGTCAACAGTTTGAAGGAGTTCCCTGACCAATACGACAGCATGCGCGGTACTGCCCAAAGTGTAGAGGACAAAATCAAAAAACTAAACCAGCAGATCGCATTAGCTAGAGACATCGCAAACAGAATCAAAGTCGGCGTCAAATTCTATCCCAACACCACCCTGGAGTTGAGGAATCCCCCCAATTTGGCAGACCTGAGCACGTCAACTCAGATTTCTGGATATTTCAAGACCAGCAATCCCAACGGATTACTCTTGTATCTCGGAAATGGAAACGGAACCAAACTAAGGCGTACCCAAACGGACGATTATTTGGCATTGGAAATCGAAAATGGCTACCCCGTTCTCACCCTCGAAATTGGAAACGATCCACAACGAATAATAAGCAACAAATACGTCGCAGATGATACCTGGTACCAATTTATAATCGACAGAACTGGGCATAACGCTAAACTATCTATAAGAGAAGAAGTGGCTGGTGGTCGTGACCAAATATACACGGTGGAAGAAACATTGAATGGTACCATGACCATATTCAATTTAGACAGAAACCTATCGAAATTGTTTGTTGGCGGATACCCACCCCAATTTCCCATGCAAAATCAGGTCCGACAAAATTCATTCGACGGCGAAATGGAAGAGCTGGTGATTGGGGACACCCCCATTTCTCTCTGGAACTTTAACGACGGAAACGAGAACAACCACGGGGCCATCGAGAGGAACAAACTGGTAAATCTACAGCCGAGCACCGGATACAGGTTTAATGGAAACGGTTATGCCATCATCAACGCAAGATTGTTCAATTTAAGGATCAGATCTCACATAAAACTCAGTTTCAAGACTTTTGCCACTGAGGGGTTACTTTTCTTGGCTGGCAAGGAAAAAACATTCATATCCATCGAACTTAGAAACGGAAAAATATTGTACCAGGTAAACTATTACACTCAAATAATCACGGAAATTAATATAAAAAGCGGATATCACATCTTTTAGTATAATTTGGGCGATAAAACGAAAACGTGGTACACCAAGGACACTTACAACGACGGCAAGTGGCATACTGTCAGCGCGAGCAGAGATGGTGCCAATGGTAACTTCATCGTGGACGAAGAAGAGATTCCGGATCGATCTCCACCTGTGGAAGGAAGTGCTATCGAGCAAGTGGAAACATTCTCGTTTGGTGGTTATCCTCAATTCCACAGTTTCAAAGACGTCACCAATACAGACTTCGATGGATGTATCGATAATGTCACCATCATGGGTAATCTCGTAGATCTCACTCAAAACGTAAAGGCTTACGACGTAACACCAGGATGCCCAGTCAAGGTAACTTAACTTTGTTGATCTTATCATCATTGCGTTCGTTTTGTCAAATTTCTTACTTCTTTCACTTCCATTATTATCTTTTTTTTTATTTAGTATTTATTAATTAAATAATGTTCACCAGTTTTTGTCTTGACAATCTTTACAACTTCCTAATTCAAAATTCTATTTCAGTTTTCAAGACTTGTCTCCTTCTCGGAAAATACAAACGGATACATCCGATTCGGTAACATCTCTTCCGGCGACATATTCCAGCTAAGTTTGAAATTCAGAACGAAGGAACCGAACGGTCTAATATTCTACTTCACAAACAGCGATCAAAGCGTCGGATTGTCGTTGGCCTTAGACGAAGGCGAGTTGCATTTGATCGATCAAAAAATCGATATCATACCCCCGGACGTCACCTTCAACGACAACGAGTGGCACGTCGTCACCATTACACACAACACAACCGTTTTACGACTGGACTACGACGACTATGCGTTCCAATCGTAAGTACTTAGGTCAAATATTCACAAACTAACCCGGGGTTAAGCTGAACCCAGGGTTTAACACTTAAAACGGTGCTTTTTCGTGTTCAAGTAAGTTATCGAGTGAAATCCTAATTTTTGAGTATGTTTCACACTTGCATTCACATGCTTCAAATCCTTTGATGTACCTCCTTTATCTCAAAATGGGAATTTTCAGAACCGACAGTCCCCCACCGCTTCCCCGAATTCTCTACGGTGACTTCTACATAGGAGGGTTGCCAAGAACGTTTGCTGCAAAACAAGGTACCGTGGCTACCGAAAGGAACTTTGCCGGATGCATTGGTGATACGACAGTCAATGGAGTGATACTCAACTTCGCCAACTCGACCGATAAATTCAGAGAAGTGATTGGAAAATGCATTTTGGACAAGCAAATTGGCAGTGACACCAACATACATGTGGGTAAGTCCCCGAAATAATACGTGATAGAATATTATCGAGTGTTGTAGTTACAGATTTAACTTAATTAAACAATTAATTAATATATTTTAATAAATACAGTTCCCACGTTGCCGCCAGTCGAAGAGCTTGACTTTCAAACTTTGGCGCCTTCCGAGTCGTTCACTCGCAATCCATTCATTGATGGTCAGTATTTTTTTTTTCTTATAGAATGAACTTGACCGTAATTAAACTGTAATTTGCAGCGATACCTAAGCGAGGTGATGGAGGTTTTGAGAGTGGTGTACATCAGCCCGAAGAAGTTGTCACCACAACATCCCCTGCTACCACTACAACCACCGTGGCAACGGTTATTCCCGACGTAAGGGCGCCTCGACCACCAGGCACACCACCCCCAACAATCCCGCAACTACCGAGAGAACCCTCGTGCGCTTTGCCGATAGAACCCCAATACGATGACACCGCAAACAGTGGATCATACAGGTTTGGTAAGTTAAAACTATTTATAACTATAGATAAATCGTTTCGAATTAAAAATTATTTGTTC